TTGCACTTTTTTTTTTTCTGTTTCGCTACAGCCCCAATTTGGGCCTAGGCCTACCTCCATGAAACTCTCCGTTTCACTTCGGTTTACTAGATCTTACACATTCGGTAGGACTCCTTGGGAGAGTGATCAGCTCGTCGCAAGGACTCTACCTGTAGACAAACACAGAAAAACGCACACAAACATCCATGCCCTGAGTGGGATTCGAACCCACGATCCCGGCTTCCGAGCGAGCGAAGACAGTGCATGCCTTAGACCGCTCGGCTACCGTGACCGGCTACAATTGCACATACACACGCATATTCGTGCAGCTGTAAATAAATGGAGAGTGACAGGGTCATTAGTGGACAGAAAGGAACTGAATTAAAACCCCGAGTGCTCACGAGAATTTTGATGAAATCGCCATGTGTGACGTGTGAATGTGAATTTTTCATGGAGATGCAAGGAGTGCGTGTGTAACAACAGGGACCATTTCCAGCATCTGTGATCTGTGGGTTTTGTTTCTGATTTGTTGGTCAATAGACTATTGCGCTGTGCTGCGGGCCAGAACACGTGCGAAAAGAATTGCCGTGAGAAGGTTGTGTTTCTTCCGCTGGACCGGCAGAAGAATTTGCGGCAGGCTCTTAAATAACCAACCTCTATTTATATCATTTATTATCTACTAAATCTAAAAATGCTTTAGATAAATAATCGTACACGCAGTCATGAAGGGAAAATTTTTGTGGTGTTTACTGTAAGTGTTGTTATTACTGTTATTGGCAGCAGTAATATTAATCCATCAGCACCCTAATCACTGTATTAATTATTACTTTCGTCACAGTAAGATTGTTATAAAGAAATAATGTAACCATGAAACAAATAATACAGGTCCAGAGGATTGTGGAATGCAGTAAACTGTATAATGAATACTGTTATATCAGAGACTTTACAGGGGCACACGGTAGAGCGTAATTGGTTGAGGCACTATGCTACAAGCCGGAAGGTTGCGGGTTTGAATCCGAGGTCATTGGATTTTTCAGTTGACCTAACCCTTCCAGCCACACCATGGCACTGGGGTCGACTCAGCCTCTAACAGAAATTAGTGCCAGAAATATTCCTGTTGGGGGGGGGTAAAGAGCAGCCGGCTCATAAGGCTGACATCCTCATCACCATCTGTCAGCTGATTGTCTAGAAAATGTGAGAGCCACGACGTCTCACAACTCTATTGGCCTTCATGGTCTGTTACAGGGATAGCTTTACCTTTTCTTTTAGCAGTGACATTACAACCAAAGGAACAATGAATTTGGAATTCCAATAGGGTGACAGAATGCTATAAACTGTGAAACGTGTATGTCAGTCTTTTAGTGTATGACATGTAGCTTTGTGGTCAAGCTATTAAAGGTATCTTTAAGTTATGAAGTAGAATATACTGACAGAAGTTTTGATCATTTATTATTAATAATGCTGCAGATATGGGATGCCACTGTGGCTTAGTTCCTGCAGTTATGGTCTTTGACCATCCTGGCTTCTACTAGCCTGGCAGATAAATATTTTATATAATATTTCCAGGAAAGCAATTTTTTGAATAAATTAATGAAATATTATCAGAACTAAAAAGTTCCTAATTCCAGGTCTAAACACTAAAGTTCATCTTTTGTCCAGCTACCTTCCCCCTTTTTGGATAGGGTCCATATAACCGTAGATTAGAGGTATAGGGGGGGGGGGTGAAGAAGAAAATGAAAAAAATAATAATGCCCTGAAAACGGGTGCTTGATATGAATGAACTGTAACGGTTAAAGATCTTATTGTAAAACACCAGAAATTTGCTTTACTTCCCCTCATTATTGCTACAGCCATCATGTTGTGACATAATGGCTGAAGGCCGGAATAGTGAAGCCAGAAAATGCGGTTGCATGCAGGTAGGGACGTGAACACAGAAGCAAGGGAATATTCATTTCTAGGAACCGTTACCAGGCAATGACTGGTGAAGACATAACAAACCGAGAAAGTTTAGTACTCGCTGTAATGAATTGTAAAGTGTGTAGGTTAACTGTAGCTTTACAATTATTTGTATTCACCAATAGTAGGCATTCAATAAATTTAACATTCAGTGCGAACCCTGTATCTGGTCACTAACGCTTGACAGACTGGTGTCAGAAGTTGTATAGGATTGGACACATTGGATTGGAACCCAAGTGATGGATAATCACAGTGGATTTAGAATGTCTGGTAGCCATCTCAGAAAAGATGATAGCCTCTCTAGAAAACATGGAGGCCACGATAATGGCCAGCCAAGAGGAGATGAAAGCAGCAATAAACACCATCTGGGAGGAGATAGAGAGGACAATGAAGAAAAGATGGAAGGCCAGATGAAAGCCCATCAGAGAGAAATGAAGACCACAAGGGAAGCCTGGTTAGGAAAGATGGAGGCCATCGGTCAATACCGAGGTTATATAACTAGAGCCATGGTCTAAATGTATTCACGGAGCCTGTTTGGAGGTGGGTTCAAATACCTCCACCGTAACCCTGCGAGTCGTAGGAGGCGGCAGAAAGGGAACCTATTGCCTGGGGTTATTACTGGTCCACCCTGTTTTGGGGGATATAAGTACAAGGACCAGGCCCTCCAGGTTGGGGGAGTCTAGAATCTGAGATAGTAAATGTCATGAGTCCCGCGGGACTTGGATCTGAGAATGACTGCGCTGGCTAGGGCCAGCAGCAACTGTAAAAGACAAACTCATCCTCCTATCAGAGAGGATATTATGTAAGGACTGTGACCGCAAGGTTTCAGTTGCAAAAAATAATCTTTGGTTGTGATCCTCAAGGGGCTTGGGTCCAAGGTGAATTGGTTGGTGGTCAACTGCCCATCATAAAGTAACTCTGACTGATCGTGAGACTGTCGCCAGCTGGTTAGAATGTGAACACGGAAACAGAAATATTCTTTGTTAGGAACCGTTACCTCTCGACGACTGATGACGACATGGCAAATTGACAAGAAATTACGCATGCTGTAGTGAATTGTAAAGTGTGTAGGTTAATGGTAGCATTATAATTATTAGTAGTTACGAGTTATAAGAGTTAAATAAATTATCAATCCAACAACTACCGTGTCTGGTCACAATGACAGTATTTATGGACATTTCCAATTTTCTCTCTCACTTTCTTTCTGCTGTCTTTTTTGTTTCATCTGTCTCCAGTCGTTTTGTCCTTTCTAATTATCAATTCAGTTGGTCATTTCACCATGTTTGAATGTGCCCTTTTCAGAACATTAAGAACTACAGAAAGTTACAAAAAGGTGCCTGATAGCTTCAGCATGTCTGCTTGTCTCTGCCCATATGTGAGAATTGTAGAACAGCTGAATTGATGTTAATGAAATTTCAGATTTTGTGAATTTTTCTGAAATGTGTTGACACATTCCAATTCTAGTTAAAATCAGAAAATGTAAGGGACATTCTACATGAAGACCTATATACATTTCTGTGCACATCTCAAGTATAACTTGCTAAATATCTATTGGAGTGAAAAATGTTTATGTCAAAACTTGTAAAAGAAAATTAAACACACATTTATGTTGACTGCACCTTTTCTGTAAGTCTTCCATTTTTTGAGATGTAAAACAGAAGGGACTGAAGACACCAAAATGTTTACACTGTGCATACATTTCCTGCCACTGTCCATTCGCATAACATGGTGAGCTCATTTTAATACTTCCTTGAAAGACTGTAACTCAAATTCCTACCTTTATAATGGCTTTCCATATTGAACTCTATCCTTTTTCTTGCCAACTGCTTGATGGTGGTTTCTTGCTTAGCTTAAGCTTTGACACTGACGATGGAGGTGCTATGTTCTGAAACATCAGTCAACTTTCAGCAGACTACATTGTGTTATATGTCAAAGGACTGAACTCTTCATAACCACTGCTGTGAGAACCTCCAATTCTACATTTTCCCATATTCTCTTCTCTTTCTTTGAATCATGAATGTCAGGAATTTCATTTCAGCATTCTTCTCCAGTTTATCAATTCTCCTTTGAACAGTGACCATCTCTTAGCTGTGTTTTAATGTCTGAAATATTGTATCGTGCAAAGTTATTTTTCATTTCTGTTAAGGCACAGTCTTCCCTTTTCTAGTAATTCTGTCCCATCATCTTGTATTCTCCCAGTGCTCGAAAGTTTTCTTCCCAAGTATAAAAAATGATCAACATGTTATGGCCACATGCATGTAATTTTACTTCCCACATTCCGTACAGAATTAATCCCTTATATATAACTTGATCAAGGTTGACTGGGACTTTATTTTTTTTACAAAAAGAATATATATCCCAGAATCGCCAAACTCTTGCTCCTTTTCAATATACTATTCTTGCTTTACACTGACATATTTCTTCCATCATCCTGGCAAATTACTGATTCCAGCAGTGTACAAGTACACGGTTTTATCCTGACTGTAGGCCCTTCGGACACTGCATTTGAGTTTGCATCAGTTTTAAATTCCTGGCCTTCAAGATGAACCTTCATTGGTCCAAACAAATGAAAATCACTAGGGGCTGTAAGGAGGGTGTTTCATGATTTCCCTGCCCATTGTTGGCAATGGCACCTTCATCAAATTTGCTGTATGTGAATGAGCATTGTCATGCAGTAGTATTGATCTTCCTTGACAGTTATCAAGGACTTTTCTTGTGAATCATTTGATGCACAACATTGTGAACCAAATTAATTTAATACTGTAATACTGTGCATTAATTGTTACACCATATGGGAAAAATCAACATGAATCACTCCTTCTGAATCCCGAAACACACTTCCCATCTCCTGCCAGGCGGTGAGTGTAGTGTTGCCGCCAACTTTCCACAAAAGAGTTTTATTTTATGGTGCTCACATCTTAAGGAAAAAGATGAAAAGTCCAGTTTAACCTTGAACCAGCTCTGGAACAAACTAATGAAATTGCAGCATGGATAGTGCTAGTTTTTTAAAATGCATTTGCTTGTATCTGTAAATTTATATCCACTTTTCCTTATTCTGATTTCAGATTTAGTTATTGCTGAAGTACAAAGGTAATTTACTCCTGAAGCATGGAACACAGGAAGCAACCTGTCCCTCAAGAAATTGCTCTTGCGTCAGATGTGTTCGATCAGTTCTGCAATTCCTCTACACTGAAAAGCATCTTAGGTCATCACAGGCAACTATGTGAACTGCTGCGCATCAAGCCTACAGTCTTTCCTCATTTCTACCCAAAACTTAAGGTGAGATTTCCTAGTTGTCAGGTTCTCTTTATTTTCATTTGAACAAACTGCCTGTTTTCTCAAAGAAAGTGTGCAATGTCAGTCGCAGTTTAGATACAAATTAAGATAGAAATGTAAACCAGTAAAATAAATTTTATGAATGAAAAAGGGAAGTTAGTATTGTGCAGAAAAAATTTATAAAATGGAAGGAACAAGTGAGAATATCCAGGAAAAATAAATCAGGTGCTACTCTTACCAGAAAATGGTTGATGGGATTTTAAGTGTCCTGAATTATGCATCATATTTGTTCAGTTAATTACTCAGACAAAAGCCAAGAAGGTTGTATGTATGGAGGGCCTAACCGTGTTCTTCCTTCTAGCAGACAGCCAGTCACTGTAATGTCTGTGAGGGTAAATTTAAACTGAGTTCCCCACATTCATCAGCAAAGAGCAAAAATATTTCTTTTGGTGAGAAGTTTGCATATAATTTAAGAGTTAGCTGCTATTAGGAGTTGATGGCTCAAATATTGTCACATGGAGTAACCCAGGAACACCTCTCCATATTAATTTACATAAATGGACACTGGTCTCGTAAGTCTTCTAATTTGGATGTTAATATCCACCCATAATTGTCTGGTATTACAGGGGGCTGAATCTCGATGGTAGACATTATTAGACCGGACATCATATTATAACTAACAACAAACTGTAATTGTCTCTTTACATACCACTTTTAAAACCAGATTCGCTTAGTGGGGGGTGGAGTCCAACTGGGTCCACTCGGCATGGCGGCCACTGATTGGCCTATTGTAGCCTGCCCTGGGTGATTATGATGATGGAGAATTTGGTGGAATGAAGATTGGCAAGGGAAACCGAAGTACTAGGAGAAAACCCGCCCCAGCGCCACTTTGTCCACCACAAATCCCACTTTACCAGACCCGGGATCGAACCCAGGCCGCCACGATGAGAAGCCAGTGACTAACTGCTTGAGCTATGGCACGGCCTTTAAGACCAGATAGATAAAGTTATATATGTACGTAAATGCTTGCTATTACTATTGTCATGGGAGCAAGGGAAGGTGGGTCACATGTCAGTATTTGCACGCACTGCTGTTCGAGAAACACTGCAGCCTTACCCCACTTTCTGCACAGTTCTGAAATCTAAGGAGACCATGGTTGACCGAGATCCTGCAAGAATGTTTGAGAATGACTTTGCCTGGATGAAAATGTATTGAGTACACAAGTCAGTCAGTTATTTTGAACTATAAGGTGGCAGGTAAACGTGATGCAGAATCCATGCTGAAACACAAGTAGTGAGTTTAATGTTGGCAGTTACAGGACAGAGGTTAATGAGCACAAGAAGACATTGTAGTGATGTAAAGTGAAAGAATCATGGTCTGAACAAGCCAAGCTCAAGATTATAAGTGTGGCAATTGACAGACTGATCCAAAACTTGAGAAGAATTACAATAAGATAAATATATGCAAATTAATTGGGACAAAATCAAAAACTTGATTTTTTGACATTTATTTATTCTAAACCTTCAAATACAATTATCTCACATAATTTTAGTAAAGAATATGCCTCCCTTTCGCTGATGTGACTTCCTGGACAGGTTTTGGTATTGACTCAACCAATTTAGAGCAAATGTTTTTCACTCCACTGTTGTGGAACCACACTTTTATCACATTTGTTACCAAGCGTTCTTCAGTTGAACAGTCCATTTTACCCAGACGTTTCTTCAGTATGCGCCACAAATTTTTGACTGGGTTTGAGCATGTTGATTTTGTTTTCTTGAATGAATTTCTTGACTGCTTTTTGAGTTGTGGCATGGTGCAAGGTCATGTTGAAATGTCCCTTTACCATTTGTAAAGGTCTGCAGGAATGGTAAAACTCTACTTTTAAGGATTTTGATGTACATTGATGAATTTGTCATGCCATCAACTGGAACCAGACTCCCAGGACCACTTGCAGTGAAAAGACCCCAAAACTTTTTGTGGAAGGTATTTTACAGTTTGCTGAAGATACTCCACTCTCGCACTTGTTCATCATTGCTTCATGCGACAACACTTGTTCTGTAACCTTTAACAGAAAAATGTGATCCATCACTGAAAGCCATTTTCTTCCAGTCATCAGTTGTCCATGATCTATAATAAGTTTCTGCTTCATAGCAGGTGTCAACAGTTTCTTTTTGATAGGTTCTCTTGGCTTCCACCCAACTTCAAGAAGCCTGCGCCATACAGTTGAAGCATCAGTATCAACCCCTGAAGTCAATAAATCTCTTTGAAGGTCCTTACTTGACATTGTTGGATATAACCTACTGTTTCTCAATAGAAGCTGAACAGTACAAGGAGTTGTTTTTCGTTTTCTTCTGCATTTTCCTTTTCTGTGTGGAGAAAGTGATCCAGAATCCTTGTATGCACAAAGAATTCTTGTCACACCCAATTTTCCCACACCAAGAACAGTGGCAGTGACTCTCACAGTCATTGATGTGTCTTCATTAAGACCAACAATTTTTTCCCGTTTCTTCACAGTAATGTCCATTTTCACACTCGCAAAAATGAAAAGTATCCCAGGGTTCAAAGCAACACACACTGTGAAAGACACAAGCTATCAACTGATAAAGCGGTAACCTTTCCCGTTCTAACCAGTCAGAAGTGGTTTGCAAACTGGTTCTTATTAGTCAAGGTCACACTTCACAGAAACCTGAGGTAAACAACTCAGCTTTTTCTATCTGTAACCAACAGAATTTGATTTTTACCAAAATAAGTGCTTGTCACAATTAATTTGCACCCTACTGTATCTGTGACAACAGAAAAAACATTTGAATGTAAATTATTATAGTAAAGACATGTGGATTATAGTAAAAATGAAAGTGATTGTATTTCTGGAAGTAAAAGGAATTCTGTGATGTAGTTCACATATGTTGAATGTTCTCTGTTTTTATCACAGTACAGCTACCTCTTTGATATGAGGCCTTAGTTTCTCTTTGTCCAGAAATTGGCATTTGCCTTGCATGACCAATTTGTCTGTTTCTGGAATTTAATGCAAGAATGTTCATACATGAACATTACTATTCAAACAGGACTGATTGCCTACTTTGTAGTGGAACAAGTCACCAAGGAAGTCAAACAGAATGCTTACATTTTTCAGGCACCATGCATATCTTCATTATTGCATGTTCACATTTGTACTACCCACCTACAAGTTGACAGAGTGCTTATTGGTGGTATCTGTGTGCCATGCCTTGGATTGATGCAGTGTTTTCAGCTAATTTAAAAGCCTAATGAGGTTCAAGCTTGCAGATTGGTTGTAACAAATATGCCCTCCATTCAGTGTTGTTTTCTTCAGAGTAATTCCCTTATGCCTTGAAGCTCCAATTGTGTGAATGAGAGACACAGCGAAGAACTCAGCAGGAAGAAGCAACACATACACATCCGAGGGACCTACACATGAAATAGCAGCAACGACAGAAAGCAGCAGTTTCCCCATTAGATATATTCTAACACATGAAAATGGCCATATTGGCCAAAACATGTTGTGACCTTTAAATTTAAAACTTAAAAATTTTAAACTTTTAAGTTAATAAATAGTTGCATATAAGACTGTAAAATAAGATTTATAATAAAAATGGAAGAGTGCAACAAGATGCTACAGTACAATATTTTACATATGTTTATATTTTTCTCTTCAGAAGCAAGTTTTAGTCACTTTCGGGTAGGTTTCTTTTAGAGTTTTGCCTAGCTGATGCAGAAATTGATGCATATGTGCTGTGCTCTAAAATCTACCATTTTGTAATGAAACAAAAATCTCAGAGAGTACAGCACAACCTCACTTCAAAAATTGTTATTTCTGAGTCACCAGTCATGTATATATATTTGGTAAGTCAAAGAGTGATTAAATGTGGAAGCTAATACATAATCTTGGGTTCATTTTCTTACAGGCAAAACTTCGCTCTTGGAAAGCTCAAGCTCTCTGGGCAAAATTTGACAAGCGAGCTAGTCATAAATGTTACAATAGAGGTAAAGCTTGCCCTAACACACGTGTAAGTACAAATTATAAACTTACAATATGATCTACCTAGGGTAACTAACTTGCATTTTGTTTCATTCATTTAATTGTTATGTTCTGGTAGATTTTGTTATACTAGGTGGTTCAAATATGACCGGGACTGATTTTTTTGTAAACAAGCCGCACTGCGCAGCAGCTGTGCGACCTTGAGAAAGTGAAGCCACAACCTCCATCCTCCCTCCTGTTAGGGTTAGAACCTGTTCAGTCCTGTCTGGAAGTTGCTAGAGTGATGAGAGAACAGAAGGTACCGCGGAGAGTGGAACAACGCTTTGTGATCAAATTCATCGTTGGAGAAAACGTCCCGTCCGCTGAAATTCACCGTAGACTCCAACAACAGTATGAGGAAGAGTGTCTCTGACAGACCCGTGTGTTTGAGTGGTGTCAGTGCTTCAGAGAGGGCAGAGAGTGTGTGGAGAATGAACCACATGATGGTCGGCCGCGAACACCCATCACCAAGCCAAACACTGATTGTGCAGACGTGCTTATTCGTGAGAATAGGCGCTTCACTATCAAGGAACTTGGAGCAATGCTGTCCATCAGTGTTGGTAGTGTAGAATACATCATGAAATACCACCTGCATTATCATATGGTGAATGCACGGTGTGTGCCATGCACTTTGACGGACGTGAACAAAATGGTGCGCATGCAAGTTGCCAGTCATCTCCTACAGCAGTTTGAAGATGAAGTGATGCACTTTTGAAGTCTATAGTGACCACCGATGAAACGTGGGTGCACTACTTCATTCCCAAGTCCCAGCAATCATCATGCGAGTTGCGGCATACCAGTTCTCCCAAACCCAAGAGAGCGCGGAGGAGCCATTCGGCAGGAAAAGTGATGGCAAGATTCTTCTGGGACTGGCAGGGCGTTATCCATGTAGACTTTCTGACAGATGCCAGAACAGTCAATGCAGCTTATTACTCAGACCTCCTGGCAACAGATGTGAAGGAAAAGATCCGATCCAAGCAGAAGAGAGGTGGAAAGCAGGTAGTCTTCCTTCAAGACAATGCACGCCTCCATACGGCCAAAACAACAATGGAAACCCTCTGGAAATTGAAATGGAACCTTCTGGCACATCCGCCGTACAGTCCCGATTTGGCACCAAGTGATTTCTACCTGTTCGGAAGGCTCAAATCAGACTTGCAAGGCATGCGGTTTGTGGACGACGCCGTGATCCAGAATGTTCGGGAATGGATACGCCGCCAGCCACAAAACTTTTTTGAAAAGGGCATCAGGATGCTTCCAGAACGTTGGAAAAAATGTGTTGACTCCGGAGGGGAGTACGTTGAAGACTCACATGTGCAAGTAAGTGTTTGGCAATTTTGGTTTAAAAAAAAATCAGTCCCGGTCTTATTTGAACCACCTTGTACATGTCATTTAATCTCATGTCTGATTTGTACTACAGGTTCATAAAACCTTTTTAAATTGATAGCCATTTCATGGGTTGTAGATATAGTCATATGTAATTCACTTTATAGATCAGAATCTTTGTATTAACAATTTGACTTGTGGCGGTAGCATAGATGGTCGAGGCAAGGAGGCACGCGGCAGCGTAGTTGGTTGAGGCACTATGCTACAAGATGGAAGGTCGCGGGTTCAAGTCCCGATGAGGTCATTGGATTTTTTTCAGTTGACCTCATCCTTTTAGCCACACTATCACCCTGGAGTCCACTCAGCCTCTAACAGAAATGAGTACCAGGAATGTTCTTGGAATATTCTTGGTGGTAAAGGGTGGCCAGTGTGTAAGCCTGATAACCTTGCTGCCATCTATGAGCCGATTGTCTAGAAAATGTGGGAACCTCAACATCTCACAACCCAATGGACCTCCATGGCCTGTTACAGGGATACTTTTACTTTTTTGCTTACTTATTTGATTTGTGGTTTATGAAGTATCAAGTATGTTAGATAGCTTACTCGTTTCTTCGTTACTGTTAAAGGGAGCTTACCAGTGAACCATCTCAGATATTGATCAAAGGGGAGAAAAGCAAACAGTAAAAGTAATGACATCAACAGCAGTAACAGTTCAGTTCATTTTGTAAAGTACTTGACAACAGCAATGAAGCCAGTTACGACGAAGTGCTGTAGAAAAGCTGTAATGAAAGGAAGGCTGTAAACAGACATTAAAAGAATCAGAATGTAAGAAAGCAAAGAAGTAGAAAACAGAAACAACAATAATATTACTACTACCACCACCATTACTATTACTACTACTACTGCCACTAACAATTATGATGATGATGATTCGGTTCAGTTCATTTGTTCAAATGCTTGGCAACAGCCAGAAGCCAGTTACAAGAAGCCACTTGAAAAAGAAAAAATACCTAAATGGTGTTGGTGGTATGTGTGACTGTAGATGGTGTTTGGCTTTTTTCTTGAAATGAGAATTGTGTTAGGAACCCAATAATGCAGGAGGATAACCACATCCATATTTTTTCCCCATCATATAGGCTTTGAATCATTTGTGCATAGTGGTTCACAGTTTTACCACACATTGGGATCCCTATTCAAGTGAACAATTTATATTTTCTTCAGCCCCATTGAGCTGTATCCAGTCAACATGAATGTTGATTCTTCAGATAAATCACCACAGTAATTTCTGAAGAATATATAAGCTCATAGAGAGCATTTAACTTAACATCATTATTAATATTACACCTCATAATTGGTTTATTCCGTTTTTATGAAGGAGAATGTGCAGAGTGAAATGTTTTGATTGTTGGATTCTTTTGGACTGTTTAAGATGAGAGGCAGCTTTTCAGTGCATTGTGTTTATTCAGAAGTTTGAATTGATGGCATTTATGCCCATATACTTTTTCCTTTATTCAAATAATTGAAGAGTACACAACAACTGACTGCCATTATACTGGTATTATGAAATGTTGAAACTTAATTTTGTTGAATAGGTTCTGATCATTGGAGCAGGACCATGTGGCCTTCGTACTGCCATAGAGGCACAGTTGTTGGGGGCAAAGGTTGTGATAGTAGAAAAGCGTGATCGTATCTCCCGGAACAATGTACTTCATCTGTGGCCTTTTGTAATTCAAGATCTCAGAGCACTTGGTGCCAAGAAATTCTTTGGAAAATTCTGTGCCGGTGCCATTGATCATATTAGTAAGTACTGTTAATCAGCAGAAGTTCTGGTATTTCTTATGGACATCACAGAATTAAATTAAAGTTAATATTTTTTGTTCTCTGACTAGGTATTAGGCAGCTGCAATGCATTCTCTTGAAAGTGGCCCTTATTTTGGGAGTTGAAATACATGAAGGAGTTAGTTTTGAACGCCTGCTTCCTCCACCTGATGAGCAATCAGATGAAAGTATGTATGAAGAATCTTAACTTGTTTCTCCACAGGTACATACCATGACTCATTTCCAAACCTTATGCCTTTATTAGAAGATGACAGGTATTCACACCACCCTGCTTCTGCACAGCATACAGTACAAGATTTTGGTTGCAATTTATGTTACAGTTAATGAGTTTTATATAATTTATTATAATACAAATCTCCTTTTACTTATACAGTTATTGACTTTTTTGACATTATCCATCATCTTGTTTTTATTGAAAAAGTATGTTTTGGAAACTGGACTCTGTCCCCACCCTCAGATTATATGGGAAAGTTGTGTTTTTATGTTGTTACTACACAGATCATCATTTTAAGTCTTAGTTTTATCCTCTGTTAGGTCCTATTATAGACTAACTTTGTCAACAAGTGGTGGTCACTCTGTCAGTATAGTTTCCTTGCGGACTACAGGCCACATAGTTTTAGGTCCTATTTGGTATGTGGAAATTTTTGTCTGCTAGAATTTTAATCTTCAATACTTGTATGTATATGTATGTATATCTTCTTTTTTTAGGACCATGTCCTGTCATTGATTTTATAATATTTTCATCTTTCAGAATTTGTCTCATAGTGTTGGCTTCTATTTGGTAGTTCTGTGAATTTATGATCTCTGCCATTAAATTATGATGGTCATGGTGCAGGGCCTCATGTGTGGAGTTTTTGATGTTTGTCTTAATTCCAACTGATGGGTTAGGTTGTGTTTGGTTTGTATATCCTGTCTTGTGTTGGTTGTGATGTTTGGAGATAAGGACTGTCTCTGTTGTTTGGAGCCAACTGAGAAGGCTTTTACCTGAGGATGGAGACAGAGTCCAGTCTTTGAAATATGGTTTTTAAATAAAGGACAGGATGATTGATAATGTCCAAAAATTCAATAATTGCATTAATGTACCTTTGTCACAAACTTCTAAATCTTATTTCCATTTACTGCCTCATACATCTTTATTGCATAGTGCTTAATTTATTAAGCACAGGGACAACTTTGCGTTTGCCTTTACAGTGTCTTAAATATTTAATAGAATATTTGTGACTTTGAATTTGGTTCTCGGTGTCGGGGTGAGAAGTCCACCAAGTCAGTTATGTGTGTGAAATACGTGGTAGAGTCATTAAGTTCGTAGAGTGTGGTTTTATCACATCACATTACAAGGTATTCACATACACTTACGCAGATCCACATCGGCCCTCAAAATAGTTGCCGTTGGCCACTATGCAAGTCTACCAATGTTGGTATAGCTGTTGAAAACATTGCTGAAACATATTGGCAGTAGATTCCCGTACGACACTTTGCAGCCATGCCACGAACTTATTGACTGTGGTAGTATACACAAAGACATTGTCATCAAACATAAATATCTCATGGCCTGCAAATGTTGTAGCCATTTATGTAAATGTATGATAATTTGGTAACTTTCCAGCCTTTTTCTTTTTCTTTGACCTTGTCACTAGGTGAAGGCAGACAGCAACTTTGACTGCCCTGCAGTTATATGAAAAGTATTATATCTCTGTGAGTTCTTATTTTATTGATCTGCTAACTTGAAAATATTATTGCTATTCTTTCGGCTGATTACACTTTCAGATTAAGACTGTCACTTGTATTGAATGAGTGATTGTTTCACATTCAGATTTGTGAGGTAAATTGTGAAACATAGACACTGAAATACTAAAAGTTGGCTGGCAGTACTGCCTTCATATGATGAAATTCAGAGTACTGAATGTTTGGATTGTGATTTATGATATGAGAGTTCCTTGTAGGAGTTGTAGCCTCTGAAAATTCAATAAACCCTTGTTGTAATGGACCAGGGTATAGCAGATTTTGAATATAGCAAAATCTAGCAGTGTGTATTTTTGAATTTTTTGAGATGCTGAGGTGCCAGGAAGGTTTTTGTAGTTAGAAAACTGTTTAAAATAAAAAGGAAACCTTACATAAAAACCTTTATATAATCACATTGTGTATTTCTGTGTTTATTGCATGTATTGGCTGTGTATACTATGATGTAATTCCATGAATACCCCTTCACTCGGTTATGGCGGACATCCGTTATAATGGACACCCTTTCATCCCTATTAGTCCATTAGTTAGTTAGTTATTGGAGAGGGTGGGTTTCCCCATGCACCTAGACCTGTATTGGTCCATTGTGCTTCCCTCTATGATATTCTACCAGTCTCTATATCCTACTGGTACTGGTGCTTACCATCCATCCCGCCCAGCCAGCAAGACTGGCTCTACTGGCTGAGAGGTATCTATAATGCTTCCCCCATCTACCAGAGATATTAGAGACTGCTGTTGGGCGGGAAACGTCCGTAATTTGGCTCAGTGACCTCCTTTGGAGATATGAGGTTCTTTTACGTGCCATAAAGCTACGACACGGGACCCACGGCTTAAAGTCCCTCCCGGAGGACTTGTTCCCTGAATTTTTCCGCCCTTAAAAATTCGACGACCTCCGCCGGGTATTTGAACCTGCGTACTATGAGTCATGAGGTGGGAACATTACCTCTAGGCTACGGAGGCTGCTTATTAGTCCATTATAATGAGGGTTTAGTGTATATTGTATTATGTCTTCTGGTGCTCAGGATTTTCTAGAAAATTGAAATGTATTTCTAGAAAGTACTTGCTGAAATATATTTGTTTACATTTTTCATGTAATGTGCTGTTTAGGGGATACAGAATGACACAAAGAGACATTCAATGGCTAAGATATAAACACGTGTTTGTGTCATAGAAGATTGATGAAACAAATGAGGGTCATTAAAGCATGGTCAGAAAAAAAATCCATGTTGCCAAATACAGCCATAAATGTGTGGCATTTACACCTCTTATCCCACTTTGCAATCATGAGTTATATTAAAATGCAATCATTTATTTTATAATATACATAAATTTCTATTAGAGATTGGATGGAGAGCAGAAGTGAGTCCTGCTGACCATCCAGTTAGTCAGTATGAATTTGATGTCCTCATCGGTGCAGATGGCAAAAGGAACACATTAGATGGTGAGTTGTATTCCAGTTAAACTTAAACAATTTTACACAAGGTGCATATACGTCTGAACCTCAAAATAAAAATTAATGGAAACAGTAATAGGCTAATGCTCTTCTTTGTGGATATTTTCCATTTGCTCTAATTGCTAGAGTAGATGCTATTTTATAAAATTTAAAATGCTTTATTATTCACTATAGTTTAACATCCACAATACTTTAACCATTTCACAGTATCTTTATAAGCACCATTAAGTATTAACTTAATGTGTAAGTTTGGCTTTTTGGAATGTGCTGCCTAGAATGTTGAGGATTTGCCATTGCTTCATCAAAAGTTTAGTTGCCATTTTCAGGGTGAATATTTTAGAGTGGTTGGGAAGCCCATACATAGATCTTGCAGTAGACATTAGGTGGGAGGTTACATCATTCTTGGGCAAAACAAGAGTGGAGTGCTATTCAAAGGGAGTTCCTGCTGCCAAATCTACATAAGGGCTTGTGCCCCCCCCCCAAGAGGCACATTAATATGGTAACTGCAAGTTCTGCTTAAATATTGGGAAACCTCTGAATATTCTATGTGGTTATATTCCACAGAAGCCAAAGTTAAATATTTCACTACAGCCATGAAATCCTGAGAAGAGTAATTGTTAACTGTTACTTCCTATTGTATGTTTGTGTGTTAATATGTGTGCATGTGGACATGCACATTTTGAGCAGGCCCACAAATTTCACCTCATACTTAATGGACTGGCTCTCTATGACAGCTGTAAGACATGAGCCTGTATGGCTGACTTCAGCTATTTTGACAGTTGTGAAATATAGAATAGTTTACCGTAAGACAACGGATGTAATGTACTGTAGGACACCAGCTGTAGTTTACTTATCTGAGAATTATGTGATAATTTTGGGACTTTTTTTTTAGCTCTGGGAATAAAGGATAAGTATTTTGAGTGAGTAAAATAAAATAATTTGCCACTTAGTTGATTAAACAAAAATTTGCAAAGCAAATTCAAAAAGTGTGTGTGAGATGTGTGATGGTTGAAAATGCGTTTGGTAACATATCAGGATTGTCTTTTGCCAGTAGTGCATTCTCCAAATTTCCAATTTATCAGGGATGTTCAAGACACTGATGATGACCCAGTATCATGGCTGAGTGGCTGGCACTTCAGCTTCACATTCAGGAGCTCATGAGTAAAATCTTGGCCCAGACACAGACTACCTTGACTGAGTTTTTTTTATGGTTTTGCTCAGTCCCTTGAGGAAAATGTGGGGACAGTACCTCAAATTAGGCCACAGCTGCTTCTTTCTATGTCTTGTTTAATTCCTTATTCACTAATTACTCTACATTCAACATTAGTATATATTATCAGCTACTGACACCATTGTTAAATAAAGAATAAAATGAACACAGTGATGATTTATCAGTACAGGATTCTAGTACTGGTGGTACATAAATATTATAGAACAGTAATGTGATAATTGATCAACATCACCAGTATTAATGTTGTATTTTAGCATCCTGTTGCACTGATTCATATCCATAATGTGTATATTGTAATGGCCGGATAATAGTCGCTGCGAGGAGCAGCCGAAACAGGAGACGCAGAAAGCACAGCCTCCAAAGAAAAGGAACAGGGGTGCACCGTTAGGCTATTCGGGACGAACAGCCTTAAGGAGGGAGCAGTGTGACATGTTGCGCAATGGAGGGCAACCCCTCCCTCCCCAGCGGTACGTGTCGGCATCGTAGTGCTGACGTCACCCTATGGTAATAGGCAAGTCAACACCCTGCCTTTCTCCCCGCGGCGACGATATGGCGCCAGGCAACAGCGGCACTCATTGTGTAACAGGCAAGCGCTGCGACTATATAAGTGAACCACACTGCCTACGAAGCGAGTTAACGTGTAGCCGTCCCTGGGGACAGTTAAAGTGTATCAGCAGCTGAAGTGAGTTCTCCAGTCAGCAGCCTACAGTTGAGTTGGAATCTAGCCAGCGGTGATTTATGAGTTACGGACGCTTGTGTGAGAATCAGTGATAGTTCGTGTTAACCGAGTAACAATTGGGAGTGTGTGATACAGTTGCACTTGTATAAATCCCGCGTTATAAAAACGTGTAGACTACTGACAAAAGAGTGAACAGATTATTGTGAATAGGTTATAAAGTGTGAAATCCCGCAACAATGTTGTAATTAATTGTAGCTGATACTGGTAGGTTGTTAAATAAACCAATTAATCCGAACGGCGTATTCAGTAATCTAAACACGTTACAATATATTAACTGTCTTTTAGTGCATACAGTTTCACTTGTCACAAGTGCACTAAAAGACGGTTACTATATACACGTTATGGATCACCAGTATTAACACATTGCGGACCGGTTGTTTAAATATTTAAATCATCCTGGGGACCGGGGTTTTTAAGCCTAGCATCCTAACTTGTGCACTGTTCACTTTAAAAATTAATATAAAATCTCATAATTAATTTTATGAACTAAAATTTTTGGAGAACACTTACCAGAGCTCCTAGAAGTGCTTGCACCATATCTGTTCAAATCTCTTACGACTCATGAGTTTGCTGAAAATGGGAATTTCTAAAAATGGGTCTCTTGACCAATAATCCTTCAAAGTATCTCTCTTCGTAAGCCCGATTAGAATGACCATAGCCAAAAATTTTTTCATTTCTGTTGAAGTGACATCCACCCACTTCAACACCTTATAGGTGCGGTCGTACGCCTCACGGTGTTGGAGATAGTATCTGTTAGTCTCCTGACATAACAGGTCAAAGAAACTATCTCCAAAAAACAGTGACACAACTTCAGACACATCCGTTGGGTCCGATGGCATCCGCTTCACCCCCTGGATCACCAGTAAACCTACCCAAAGTGGGGGGTTTTGTCCACTTTACCCCATGTGGCTGTCCCGGTACTCGCACTTTCATCGGAGCTCTCACTTTCACTGGACACAATATTTTGGGGGGCCCTGTGGCCCCTGTCACTGTCACTTTCACTGAGGCTGGCCTCGCTATCAGAAGACGAAGCAGTTGGCAAATCTGATAGCTCATCGGAGAACAAATCTAATATTTCTTGTTCTCTGAGAGAATGCTTCTCCTGCAACTGCTTTCGTCTCTGATCCATGTGGCACTGCTAACTTCCTGGTTCATACATGGAAGCTTGGACTCGAACAGAGGCTTTTTTCTATAGGGTGTGACAGGAAATGAGCGTGATCATGTTACTGGCTAAGCTAGCAAAGATTCCCGAGGTCAACTATGCAGTAGTTATGATGCAACATGGCCACACAGCAAGATATAGTCGGTTTCAACATAACGCATCAGAAAAGGGCCAGTTGGCCCGCCCGGTCCGCAACGCTATAGAAATGTAGAGGGCCAATCGGCCCTTCTGGTCCTGAATGTGTTAATGTGAAAATTTATGGGTAAGGTTGTTGATCCAGAAGCATTTTAACAATAAAAGGTGCTCACAGGACTATTTATTTATTTTTGTTGTCTGTTTGAAGGATTCAAGAGAAAGGAATTTAGAGGAAAGCTTGCCATTGCCATCACAGCAAATTTCATAAACCGTCGCACAGAAGCAGAAGCTCGTGTTGAAGAAATCAGTGGAGTTGCATTCATTTTCAACCAGAAATTCTTCAAAGATTTATATGAAGCCACTGGAATTGATTTGGAAAACATAGTATATTATAAAGATGAAACCCACTATTTTGTTATGACAGCAAAGAAACATAGCCTAATTGATAAAGGAGTGATTTTACAGGTAATTAAAACTATTTTACCATATTTTGTACATAGTCAAATAAGAAACCTATTTTCTTTTACTGAATTTGAAAACATAAATGAGAGTTAAATATTTGTCTTGTATTGTTATATCCATCTAAGAAACGTTCACATTAGTAAAGTAAGAAGGGTATACACCAAATGACATTATAAATAAGTTTTGTTTTACAGCATCTCAGTGATTGATAGAGCATAATGTTATAGCAAAGTTCTCTGGACTGCCAAATTATTTTTATTGTAATGAAAGACTATAAAATTGTTGAATTTGAAGTACTGGGTGACGGGGCCTAATAAAATATTGTATGATAAACTGGCTTTCTTCTGTGCGTGACACATGCTAGTTTATTTTGATCCTTCAGGTTTTGTATGTATGCTTCAGGGGCTGATTCTCCTTAGCCTTTATTTTCCATAAAACCAAGCTCTTGCACGACACCGTTATGATATTAGTGATGTAATCCAGGAATGTAAGCCCCTTATTCAAAAGGGATTATAGAATATTCATAAGCAGTATGTTAGTAATAAATTGCAATTATATTCCTGAGTTTTAAATTGTGATCCAAATTTTCAGCAGCTATGTGTTATTGGAGACTGGGTATATTTTAGGCTTTTCTTTAGTGACACGTTTTCATCATGGGTAAATTTTTCATCTACCAGCTGAAGAGTGTCTTTAATGCGTGTGCATTTTGCAAAAACAAATTTGATGACTGCATGTTATTCCTCACAAATTGAATTTCTAGCAATAGGCAGTCTCTGAAATACACCCTCTTTGCATGAGCTTTACATTGTTACTGATGACTTAGGTTAGTTCAGACTCACATAGGGAAACAGTAAAAATATACAGGTGGTGTGTGGATGTAATGCCAACCTTTGATGGTAATAAGGCTCTTGTAACCACAAGTGAGCAGAACTTACTTTTCAAGTGCATCTTGTATAACTCTTGTTGATAAATTTAAATATGGATTATTTTACATTGTCCTTGAGTTTGTTTTTTGTATATGTAACAAAGAACATTATAATAAATTATATGGAATATACTGTACTGATTATTGATATATGGAGCAGTTACTGTCAAACTGGCTGTAACTGCTTTTGTTACTGAGATTGAGTCTTTGTGTATTTGTTACTTTATGGTAACACCACCAGTGACAGTACTGCTCTCACTCACCTTTTCTCTACTGAGCTGCACTACACTGAACAGACAACTAGAAGAGTTGATAACTCACCTACTGACTTACTTTCTTGCTCACTCACCGACAAATGACACTGAACTGAACACCAAAATCTCACTCACTTCCCTTCCACTCTTCTCTTCCGCCTGACTGCCTGCACGGAGAACAAGATGCTGACTGATCCACTGTTGCTGTTTCTGTAGGTATATCACTCTTGGTGAAAGCTCTTGAATTATTGCAGGTAGTTTCATGTATATTCCAGAAAGGGTGGTAGGTTTTGATAGTTCAAGCAAATGAGGTACATGCAGTCCAGGTGATGTGGTCACACTGTATTCTGTTCCTCTGACAGTACAGTCTAAATTGTATGTGAATCTAACCTCTGGTTTAAATTGAAATTGTTGGTCGTTTAAGATACTTGCAATAATCACTCAGAGTTTCAGAAGGTACTTCTCTCTTAGCTGGCATTTAATGTCAGGTGCCACAGCCATTGCAGTTTCTAATGTTTTGACTTATGGTGTAATGACCCATGGATCCACTGGGCTGTCCGTCCTTCCCAAGCCCTCCAAAAGAAAACATTGAAAAGAAAGTATGTGAAATATGATTACTCTTCTTATGGAAGCTATTCATGTTAGGTTGAACCATTGTTGCCACATACTTTGCCTTGTATAAATATATGTGCTTTCCTGTAAGATGAATATTTTGGCATGAATGGTGTGCAGAACTTTCCAGTGATCCTGTATTAAAAAGTGTCTTTTGGTCAGTTTTTTTCTGTGGTGGACTGTGCAGTGTGTCATAATTTTGTCTCAGTGTGTTACTTTTGTGTTGGTGTCCCTGGCAGATAGTGTAACTATTCCTCTATTCTAATATTTTTTGTATCTGAACAGAATTATTGAACATCCATGTATATGATTATTTTCTCCCCAGGACTATGCAGATACAGCAAAACTTCTTGCACCAGAAAATGTTGATAAAGATGCCTTACAAAGGTATGCACGGGAAGCAGCTGATTTCTCAACTGAATATATGCTCCCTCAGTTGGAGTTTGCAGTGAACCATTATGGACAACCAGATGTAGCCATGTTTGATTTCACATCAATGTTTGCTGCAGAAAATGCAAGCCGTGTTGTGGAAAGACATGGGCATAGATTGCTACAAATTTTAGTAGGAGACAGTTTATTGGAGGTAAAGTTAACACTGTGAATGTGTATATATACGATGGGGTACCCAAAAGAAACCGAACTAATTTTTTTGTGGGCAGAGCTTTTGTAGTACCGCGTTTTGCCGCTATGAGCGCATAGAGCTAACATTCCTGAGTCGATAAGCTGACTACTGTTGCTTCAGAAGGTAAGGACTAGTTTCGGCAGAGTTTATAGTGACAACTGTTTTGTGTGGTCGTTGTTTTTGCAGTGGCTGATTTTCGTGAACAGCTTGCGGCGGTGAAATTCTGCTTTTTGCTCAGGAAAATTGGAACAGAAACTCTTAAAATGTTAAAAACGGCGTACAAGGACGATGTTATGGAGAAAACTCAAGTGTTTGAGTGGTTTTCCCATTTCAAAAATGGTGAAATGTCAATTGATGACAAACCTCGTTCTGGTTGTCCTTCCACGGCCCGAACACATGAAAATGTTGAAAAAATTCATGAAATCATCAAGGAAGATCGACGACGGACCATTGAAGAAATTGTGGAGCTGTCGGGAGTGACTTGGAGCTCAGCGGCCAGATTTGTGGCAGTCGGGTGGCTGGTTTTTCCATCATGACAATGCCCCTGCTCACACAGTCCTGTCTGTATGACAGTTCTTGACCAAAAATGGTATGACCCCTGTTCCTCACCCTCCATACTCACCCGACCTTGCCCTGTGTGACTTTTTTTTTTTCCTTGAATGAAAAGAGACATGAAAGGAAAAAACGACGGAGGCGCTGTCAAGCATCTCAAAAGATGAATTTAGACAATGTTTTGAAAAATGGAATAAAAGACTAGACAAGTGTATTAGTGTAAGTGGAGAGTACTTTGAAGGGGATTGAAGGTTTGTGCTTAAAATTTGAATAAATAAGTTTAAAGAAAAGTAATCTCAGTTTCTTTTGGGTACCTCCTTATATATATATGTGTAATAGTGTGTTGCATAATGAAGGTATTGTTATTTTATACAAAGTCACCTGAGATGAAAATAAATCTCTTTGAGAATAGCTTCATTCACCCTGGAGTCCAAGGAATATGTAATTTAATCTTTCAGAACTGAGTCTTGCAATTACGTCATGACTCTATACTCAAGTATTTAACTGACACAGAAATGTGATGAAAATATGTGTTTGTGAGTCTCATAACTTTGTCATTTAACTGATTGCTATGAATGGGAAATCTAGACTAGCACATACCAGCTCCACCTGAGATATCCCCAGTTTGTAACAACCTTTTTTTATATCTGTTCACTTTAATAATGAGATCTAAGCAATGAGTAACAAATGTATATATTCTCCTATCTTATGACACACATTTGGAAGTATTGATGTTTTCCAATCCTGATCAGTTGCTGTGAGCTAGTTACTTAATTAAAGTTAAGTCGTTCAAAAGTGATTGACACTCACTCCATAACTCCGGAAAAGTAGCAGTGTCAAATGTGAGCCAGTGTATGTGGGAAGACATACTATAGTGCTGCCTGTGGCCACGAGATGATGTTGCTACTGTGTACAGGTCGAACAGTGCTGTGTCATTTGTGGCGGTGTGCAGGTGCAGTCGTGGACAACGCTCAGACAACATGGAAGCAGACAATCACGGGCAACGGTGGACTGTGCAGTTTCTCTGGAGGGAAGGAGTGACTGCTTTGCACATTCACACGAGGTTAGCAGCCGTATGTGGGGAAGCAGCACCAAGTCGCAGAACTGTGTTTCACTGGATAGCAGAGTTCAAAGACGGCAAGGACTGTGCGGAAAAAGGCAAAAGTAGTGGGCATCCAGCAACAGCATGCACACCAGACAGTACACAATGCATGTCCGACTTGATACTGGAGAAGAGGCACATCAGTTTCGATGAACTAGAGAACGCAACAGGTTTGTCATGCAGAACACTGCACACTATCTTCCATCAGGATTTGAAGATGAAAAAGGTCTGTGCTCAATGGGTGCCCCATTCTCTCACCATTGCGCAGAAGCATGTGGAGACATGTCAACAGTTACTGCAGCTGTAGAGTGCGGATCCAGCGGAGTTCTTTGAGCGTCTAGTCCCATTGACGAGTCATGGTTCTGGCACGAGACTCCAGAAGAGAAATGGCAGTTCATGGAGTGGAAGCATGCTGGGAGTCCTCCTCCCAAGATGTCACGACTGGGACTACTAGTCTGGAAGCAAATGGCAACTGTATTCTGGGATGAGGAGGGGATCCGTCTGTTGGATTGGCTGCCCCAGATATGACCATCGACAGTGATCGGTACTGCAATTCAGTGCGCCAACTCCGCTGATGCATTCAGCAACACTGCCATGGAAAATGGGGGCACGGCGTTCTTCTCCAACATGACAATGTGTGCCCACATGGCAGTCAGCAGACCATTGCCACCCTGGGTGCTCTAGGGCACACCATGCTGCCTCATCTGCCATACTCATCCGATCTTGCCCCTAACAACTATGCTGAATTCGATGCAATGAAAGACGTCATGCGGGGTAAGACATTCATCTCCAACAACAAGCTTCAGGCAGTTGTCCAGCAGTGGTGCAGGGATATCCCCAAAGAATGGTCTACTGTGCAAATACAGAAACTGCTGGAATGATGGCAAAGGTGCACAGACATTGGCGGGGAATACCTCTAATATAATCTGTATGTATTTTGTTCCAATAAATGGTTACTGTGAAGAAAAAACATTTAGTGTCAATCATTTTTGAATGCCCCTAGTAATTATAGGAAATAGCAATTATCTGTAAGTATATTCTGAACATAGTAATCCTCCCATCATAATTTGATATGTTATCTACTTTTGTCCAGTAATATGAAATGTTTCTGAGACCACTCTGAAAGAGGAATAGTAGGCAGCATTAGGCTCCTCAGTGGCAAGATTATTATTAAGGGGATAAATTCCAATAGTGTATGTTATTGAATCAGTCTCAGAATTTCAAAGAGAATTTTCTAAGTAATGGAAAGCAGTAAATACAGTTGTAAAATAATGAGTACTTTGAATTAATTGGAAACAGATTAAGTTTTGCTACACATTACATCATGTTACTTTATATTACATAATTGAAGGAGAAAATGTGTCATGAATTGTTTTCTTTGTCTTTCTAAAATCATTGAGCACTTCAGGCTACTTCAGATTAGTGTTTTGTCCAGTCAAGATTTCTGTTAATTTCTCTAATTTTGAAAGACAATGAAGATATCACTACATACTCAAAAAAGAATTACTGTATGAATGGATTCATGTTGTAACATTTTATTTCAGCCTTTCTGGCCTACAGGATCTGGTTGTGCCCGAGGTTTTTTGAGTTCTTTGGATGCTTGTTGGGCAGTGAAAAGCTGGGGTAGTGGTCAAGCTACCCCACTTGATGTTCTGGCTGAAAGAGAATCTGTATACCGACTCTTGGGTCAAACAACACCTGAAAACCTTCAGAGGGACACAGTTTCATACACTCTTGATCCTCACACTAGATATCCAAACCTTAACACTAGATGTGTTTTAGCAATTCAAGTGCGTGGACTGTATGATTCCGATGACCCAGCGAGTGTAGAGCAGTGCTTGGTCTCTGCTACAGTTCAGGAGATGCCAAAGAAGAGACGGAGAAAAGGTAAGAACTGAATTGCTGCTGTTGTAATGTCAGTATATAATTGTTTTTATATGTTTACACCACATTTGCATCTGTTGTTAAGGTCTCACATACGTTGTCACACAAACTTACATTAAAAATTTCTTGTTTATATTCCTACTTACATGCTATATGTAGGTTGAGAGTAGCAATATTTACATTTTGATGTTTTGTGACTAGACACCACAAAAACTTGTGTTAAAACATTCTTCTTTCTTTCAGGTGCAAAGCACAAAGATATTAAAATATCTGTGTTTTGTTCCTGATGATGGCCACTTTGCAGTCAAAACATGTAGCATGTAAAAACATGTGTAAGTAGGATTATAAACAAGAAGGTTTTAACATAAGTTTTTGTGGTATCTAAGCACAAACATCAAAATGTTAATATTGTTACTCTCAACCTTCTCTTTTAATTTGTGGAGGTGGGTGAGACTGAGTCCACTTTGTATGTTGGCCATTGTTTTGCCTGTTCTGCGAGCCCCAGATGTTAGATGATTGTGGAGCAAGGGGAAATTAAAGAGGTGTGAATAATTTAAATAAGAAAATCTTAACAAGTCACATTGAACGGAACTATTTAGCTTTTTCGAAACTAAAAGTATTTTGAGAAAACATGCCCCAGTACAACTTTGTCCACATATTCCTTCTGACTACCTGGGATTGAACCAACAGTGGGATGACAGTGACTAACTTCCTGAGCTATGACACAGCCCACTCTTAGGCTTAGTTCATGGCCTAGAACATTATTATAGGCAGTGAAAGTCAGTAGAGCATGTTAAACAGATTCACAACACTCACAGTCCATGTCAGCAAGAATAATAATTTGCTGTTACAGGGACTATCAAAATTTTATAGAATATTCTATGTCAGAACATACGATAGTGGCTCGGATGTGCCCATTAATTTTGTTTTTATATGAAATATGTATGATGAATATAGGGGTACACGGTAGCGTAGTTGGTTGAGGCACTATGCTACAAGCTGGAAGGTCATGGGTTCAAGTCCTAATGAGGTCATTAGATTTTTTCAATTCACCTAATCCTTCCAGCCAAACTATGGGCCTGGGGTCTACTCAGCCTCTAACAGAAATGAGTACCAGGAAAAAATTAAATAATTTTCCTGGGTAGTAAAGCATCTCCAACACATAAGGCTGACAACCTTACTGCCATCTTTGAGCCGATTGTGTAGATATTGTGGGACCCTGAACGTCTCACACCCCAATGGGCCTTCATGACCTGTTACAGGGATAACTTTACATTTTTTTAATGATGAATATAACAATTTTGGTACCTTTCTGAAGTGTTGCACATTTCAATGCACACTTGGTCTTTAACTTTAAAAAGCTTACTGTTTTGCTCTTTTGTTTCTGACCTTGTAGTTGCTCATTGAAAGGTCTAAAGAAATTATAATTGTTGATTGGAAATGAAATGATGTATGAAACTGACACATGAAATATTTACCATACAAATTTAATGTGAGAAGGTAGGTTTTGAACATTCTTTATTGTTTATCATGTTCTGTGAGGTACAGTACTTGATTTGAGCAAAATATCATCTTTGTTCCTGTGGTTTTCAAACTTGTTTCACTACATGCACGCATGCACTTTATATCTAGAGATATGAGGTTCTTAATGTGGTGAATAATAAGATTAAGTCTTCTGAAAAGTTACACCATATAGTTTGGGTGATAGGTATCAGCATGTCATAAGGACCTGCTGCCTCCTTCAGGGTTCATGGCATCACATTCCAGAAGACTGCAATCTTTTTACCATGTCATCATTGGCATCATCATCCTTATCCTCCTCATAGTGAAATTAATATTTGTTCTCTTTTTTATGATACCTGGTAACAATGATGAACTGACTCCATTTGTGGCGTGTGTGGCGTTTTGTGGTTCACAGTTAAGGGTGGGTGTTTTGTAACTTTCATTTGTCAAGCATGCTGTAGAACTTCATTGAGTCCATTATTTAAAATGTAAAAATTACAAGTTTTAAGCTGTATGCATGTACGTATTATAATGTAAGATCTTTTATTTAAAATTTCTTGTTTTTTTACTAATGTCCATTTTGTATAACTCTGTTCCATTATATGAGCTACAGTAATCTTTATAGAATGAGCTTTCATGCAGTGTCTGCATAAGAATTCTATTTGCCTGAATGTCTTAGTGTGGAGACTTCATCATTATTGATGACTCCTGGTATTGCCTGATGGGGTGGGTGGACTCACAGCTCCTGTTATCCATCTGATAGGAAGTTGGGTAGGTCTCAGAGCTAATCTAGATATGATGGGGGGGGGGGGGTTGAACCCCAGCTGCCTGTCCTGGGATATCTAGATTATGGAAGAGAATTAGAACTTTTGCTTCTTTTTTTTTTATAAGCTAGATATTTTTGAACATGGTATCAGTGGGTATCAGTTGAAACTTAATCTTTACCTTATGCCAGGAGTCAGGAAAGCTCATTTGGCATAGTGATGGGCTACAGGCTGGATGGCTGGGGTTTCATTGCTGGCAGAGCCAAGATTTTTCTCTTCTTCACAGCAGCAATACCAGCTTTGGGGCCCATTCAGCCTCCTATCAAATGGGTACCAGGGGTCTTTCCCCAGGAGTAAATTGGCAGAGGCATGAAGCTGAATATATACTTCCATCTAGTGTTGAGGTCAAGAATGGTGGAGCCATACCTCCACTCCCTCGTATGTCTTCATGGCATAGGGCTAAATTCATGAAGGACAGGGACAACTTAAGCCCCTCACTCCCCCACTCAAACATGTATACTGTACTGAAGAACTCTGGAAAATATTTTCCTTATTTCCCATTGATCTTGCTTCAGAGTGAGAAGTGGCATACTGAGCTGTAACAGGAGTAGTTTCAGATATCAGATGATCATTATTTCTTAGGTAATAACAATTTTTTTCTCATGCTGTGCAGAACATGGTATGGGGTATCACAAATTTTCTGGAATAGAATTTGAAGGAAAATGTGTTACTGGTTAATGAACATTGACCACTTGATATGTGAAACTTTAATAACATCTCCCTTTACAGATGAAGAAGCTAGTTTGTTTCTCAGGAAGCATGGTTAATGGGATATAGATATATTTTCTGTATAGTTTTCCAGTAAGTTATACCATGTTTGGCAGAAGGCAAAGGTGAAGGTTCAGCTGCCAGATGTGCAGTGTTTTGTAATTCATAATAATTTCTGTTAGAAGTACATATATACCTTAAAAGTACCTTCTTGCATTTTCTAAATACTCTATAATATAAGGTTGATCCAGACTTGTATTTTATTTTGATCTAGGCACATGACTCATACAATAAAATGATGTTGCTTTCTTCTCTTAATATTTGCAGTAAAGTAAGTCTTTCCCTTTCTTAGTTAACATTAATCCTGTGCTTATGAGTTAATTTCTTTACCTATGCCTGCCGGATATTACAGTAACAGGCACTGTAAGAACAGATATCTCTGTTTTCACCCCACTTTCCAATTGTGCCTTTTCCTAGTCAACTTTTGTATTGTTCTGGCTGTTGTAGAAATAAAGATACATTTGGCACTGCAATGCATGTCTACCTTAAGAGTGTTGCATATCAACAATAAACAGGAATGTCATATTCAAACATATGAAAGCAAATTTTTGTAGCATTGCTACTACAATTTAAACAGGTGATGTTATTTCAAGTCTAAGTACAAAATGTAATTTGTCTTGTCTAATCTGGCAGTTTTTTTGAGTACCCAAGTACTAAGTTTGTGATACTTGAACAAATAGCCATAATTCTATGAAAGACCTTCTTGGACTAAAGACTGGAACATGCATTTAACATGAAATTTATTGTGTGCAGAGCCTTTGAGTGTGTTAATTCATCATTTAAATTCAGAATATATTTAGTGTCTCATACGTTCTGATATACCTGTCATTGTCCAACTTTATGTTGTCTGTACCAAAAAAAAAACATTAATTACAAGTGTAAATGTGTGTAATGATTCGATTTCAGATTCACAAGTTCACCCAGATACTTTACTTCACTGGTTGAAGAAACAAGTTGCCTTGTATGACACTGTGCATGTAGAAGATATGACTCATTCTTTCAAGAATGGACTTGTCCTGTGTGCAATAGTACATCGCTACCGACCAGATCTTCTGGATTTTCATGCTCTGTCACCAGAGGACGTTGCTGCAAATAATCAGTTGGCCTTTGATACTTTGGAACGGGAATTAGGAATTCCTCCAGTAAGTGTGGTAGAGGTTTGGTGTGAACAGATTTATCAAAGTAAATTGAATTTGTGGTGGATATGTGAATACGGAGGAGAGTGTTGAAATGCCTTAAAGTCAGGATGAGTAAATTTAAATTGGAGAACTTTGGTAAGGTATTGTTATGAATAGTCATGTCATTGACCATGTTTTAATGCGGAACATAGGAAAAGAATTAAGGATTTTAAAACATAAAGACCTAAAACAGTTTTGAAATATGACACTTGTATAAAGCAAGGTAAGTATGAAACTAATTGTGATCTCTGTTTTTACTTATAGGTAATGACAGGGCAAGAAATGGAGCAGTGTGATGTACCAGATAAACTTACAATGCTTTCTTATCTTTCACAAATCTATGACACTTTCCGCGGGGAAATACCACACATTAAACATCCAAAATTGGTGAGATTTTGGACTTCTGTTGTTTTCATATTTTTATTTTTAAATACAGTATGCTGCTGAAATTCTGTAAAATTGTTTTATTTGTTGTCACATGCAGGAAGAGCCAGAAGTGAAAGAAGATCATTTTACACCACCCAGGATTGCTCAATTACGCAGCCTTACACCAACACAGAAAGTCTCACTCTTAGGTCGCATCACGTCACAGCATCATCATGCACGTCCTATACAAATCCGTAAGCCAGTAGGTGTAGTTAGTTCTCCAGTAGTTACAGCAGGGGAAAGAAAAGTGGATTCCCTCCGTCGGCAGCGCAAAAGGAGAAGCAACGATAAGGACAAAATAGGAAATATGGAGAGACCAGCAAACGTCACGGTGAGTCAAACATAAGAAGTTGTCTCGATAAATTTCATTAGTATTGATGAAGTCGGCGATGAACAGCGAGACGTTCTCCACTGTTCTATACAGCTTTAGCAGAAAATAGTGTGTTACATTTTCAGTAGTCTCTTTATTGAGGGAAAAGTTGTCACTTTGGAGTGACAGTGTAGTTTTATGTGTGGTGTATATACCAAAGTAGAAATGGTCAGTAGTATGACTTTTATGAACAGGATTTTGTACCCACACCTGATTAACCTTTATTGTCTATGCATAGGGGATTTTCAGGCATCTGATACTACAGGGATAGTATCTGAATTTTAACACCGGGTAGCAATTTATTGTTAAAAAATATGAGATTTTAAATCTTCTGGTCCTGTTTGGCTGGCTGCGGCATTTTAACCTGGTGTGTATCGATATTAGTGTTGAAAAAATACATTGGTCAGCCAGGTGGACCATATGCATGCACCATTGCAGTAATGAAATAAAGGTTGAAGTCTTGGCTTTTGAGGTGGAGTTGGACTGTGAAATGTCAGAAGTGTCATCACCATTGGCCATCGGTCTTTTTCTTGTTGATCAGTGCATCTACTTTGTAACTGTATCTTATAAATATTCCTCTGTACCTGCCAGCTGATGGCAGCTCAAGTCCCATGTCTGAGACCTGATTTTTTTTTTGTCCCTGAATGATCAAGTGATGTAAGTCTTGTGGAACAGCATCTTAATTTCAGAGCAATTAGCACACTTTCTTGGGATCAAATTCGTCATGTCCATTGCATCAAAACATTGTTTATCTTCAGCTTCATGGTGTTGTTACTACAAGAATTTTCTCGCAGAATTTTGATATGAATACATTTATGCAGATGTGTGCATCTGTTTTATTACCTCAGATTATTTTGGAACTCTATATTATGAATTAGTAAATTACATAACATACATATGGTACTTGACTGAAATTAGTACATCAGAATCAAACCCTGTTTGTTAATATTGTGTAGGAAGACCAATGGAATCGTTGGCAAGAGATCCGACAAAACCGGTCTGAGAGGGTGGTGCGTAGGAAATACATGCTTGAGCTCGCAAAAAGGCATTTGCATAAGAGTATGCAGATGCTCGAGACAAATGCTAAACGTGAAGATTCAGCACCTTTTGAGGACTATTCTCTATTCGTATACCGTCAAACAGCCCCTGCTTTTCAAGATCGTGTCAGAGATTTGGAACTGAAACTATTTTATCCAGTAAGGCAGTTTGCTTGCGTTGTGATTTGTGTTATGTTCATGGCTGAAGCATGGTTTTTCTCAGAACAGTGGTGTTTCTGACTAATTATCTAACAAAAATTTTTGCTATCTTTTGAAAAGGAGTACAAAAAACTGAACCAATTTCAGTGACTGGATTCACAGTTTGGTGAATTATGTTCACAAAAATATATTTATCAAGTATCTTGCCACTGAGACAGGAATTTAAGACTTTCAGAGTCCATCAGAAGTAGAAAATTTTGACAAAGCTTTGTGTTATAATTAGTAGCACATTAAACAGCTGTAACTGATGCTGGTGTAAATTTCACTAGTGTCCAGCAGAGTGTTCAGGAGGTGTGAATAATATAAGTTCTTATGTAGCTGTTGGATTTATTTGGACAGAACACAGCACTAGATAATACTGTCATACAAATTTGACCTAGAGTAGAATAGAAACCCAATTGAAATTTAATCCATTATTAGTATATTTAATATGCATAGTTATTTAAATGATATTAAAAAAATTCTTAGTATAATTTTTTAAAGTTTTCTGCTGATGAAGACCTGAATGAAGTACTTGAACATAGAACATAAAAAAAAAGCATTGTGTTGTATATGTTCAGATCTTAGTGGCTTTTGTGCCTGTAACAGCTGTGTGTAATTAACATTTTGTGTTCTGTCACACTTTGAATAAAATTTGACTCCTTTGGATTAGCAGGACTTTCTTTGACATGTTTAGAGTCCAGTAGTAGAGGTACCAGAGAAGAAAGAATTTATTTGAATTGTGACTGGTTCCAATGTGTGGGACGTGAAGTAAGTTCTTGTATAAGTCATGTCATAGCAAATGTATTAGCGTTTGGATACTATAAACACTTTATTGTAGTATTATAATATTATATTTAAGCATCCTGTTGCACTCTACACGATAAATGATACAAACTCTGTCCCAAGTGCAAACAATATATATTATATGTCTTTGATCTTGGTTCTCTTCTACACTACATGTTTCGGCCTCTATCGGCCATCATCAGGTGTATACTCCTAACGTTGCTGCCACACTGAACCCAGTCTAAAATGTAACATTTAAAAACACATTGTTATTTTCTTCGTATTATGAACATCTACCTCGTTGATATGTGTCTGGTATGTAGATTATATTGCACACGTCAAATTTGATTTTGCTGTAGTAGCACTATAAAATCTTTAGTTATGATTTTAAAATCCTTTAAAATTTTCTCTAAATTTAAAATTTAAAATTTAAAATTGTTAGGGTTACTCACCCTATGTCTAAAGTGCTGGAGCGGCTAGTTCTTGTTTCCACACTGTACAGGTGTTATCTGTAATATACAAATATTTGTATTATTATTTTATGTACGTAATATTTTCTTATGTGTTTATATTGTTATTTGTACTTACTCTGTGTAGTCTTCCTGTGTGCGTGCCGCTGCTTGTCTTTACATAAAACAAAGTGGGCCACATTTACATATAGTACAAAAGAAGTGAGAAAAGTTACAAAACTTTTCAAAGACACATGGATAAAAGTAGCATTTTGCACACGGAACACAATTGAAAATATACTCAAACATAAACCACAATTGGATAAATACAATAAAAGTGGCATATACCAAATGAAATGTGCGGATTGCCCACTGAAGTACATTGGACAAACGGGTCGAACATTTAACACTAGATATAAGGGACATATGCATGATATTAGAAATAATGATAGCAATTCCGGCTACTCAAATCACATACTAAATACAGGACATGCATACGGAACAATAACAGAAGTAATGGAAGTTGTAACAACGGGAAAGAAGGGTAGACATTTGAATACATTAGAGAAATACCATATATATAAAATAAGTAAGAAAGGCCTACACATGAATGGTACACACATAGAAACACACAATCCCATATTTCAAACGATACACGAAATCTACACAGACTAACGGTACCTCTCTCTCCCCTCTACCCATTCCCCCCCTACACTCACTAACATAAAACACAGCACACAGTACATCAGACAGCACACGTAGTAAAGACAAGCAGCAGCACACACACAGGAAGACTACACAGTGTAAGTACAAATAACAATATAAACACATAAGAAAATATTACGTACATAAAATAATAATACGAATATTTGTATATTACAGATAACACCTGTACAGTGTGGAAACAAGAACTAGCCGCTCCAGCACTTTAGACATAGGGCGAGTAACCCTAACAATTTTAAATTTTAAATTTTAAATTTAGAGAAAATTTTAAAGAATTTTAAAATCATAACTAAAGATTTTATAGTGCTACTACAGCAAAATCAAATTTGACGTGTGCAATATAATCTACATACCAGACACATATCAACGAGGTAGATGTTGATAATACGAAGAAAATAACAATGTGTTTTTAAATGTTAAATTTTAGACTGGGTTCAGTGTGGCAGCAGCGTTAAGAGTATACACCTGATGATGGCCGATAGAGGCCGAAACATGTAGTGTAGAAGAGAACCAAGATCAAAGACATATAATGTATATTGTTTGCACTTGGGACGGAGTTTGTATCATTTATCATGTAGTATTATACTTGTTTTACATCCGTATGTGGTGTGCAATGAACCCCATTTGCAGCCAACTTAAAAGAGTGAAGGATGCTCTTAGTGATGAGAAGTGATTAGTGGAGCCCACGAGAACACCATGAGGGGAATATTCTCTGGACATGTAGGTCACATCTCTGTATGCTGAAGGGTTAAGAAACTGGTCTTATACTGAACACGTACAACAGAAATTGGGACAGTGGAAGAATAAATTGTAAAAGAAACTCTTTAGAAAATGACAGTTCGAGGAACTTCATGATTAGTAACAGTACTGTCATCGGGGCTGTGATGCTGTGTGGTAGACCTTGACCAACATCTCAGAGGAAGAGCTGCCTCCATGCTCAGGGTTGAAGTGTAAGCTGAACAGGCACACTTACTTTTCTACCCTGAGTATGGAAGTGGTACCTTCCTCTGAAACATCAATAAACTTCTGCTAATATAATTTTCATTTCATGCATTATGTTGTGTTGTAATATACAATTTCTTTATTAAAACCATCACAACACAACTATATTAAGGTCAGTGACCTTAATATAGTTGTGTTGTGACGATTTTAATAAAGAAATTCTGCTAATATACATGGGATCATGTTCCAGAAGACAGTACTCTTCATAGTTACAGTGTACAGTAAACACCTCTCCCCCCCAGAGAAAATCCCCATGCATTGTTTCATTTAATGTTTTAAATTTAATACATATATGCATATTTTTAGTTCTCTAATCTAATGAGTATGTAATATTAGGCCAGGTCTGACATAGTTTAACTAGTAAGTTTGTACTAGCATTGTTGGTTGTATGTGTTCTATCATCACATGTATATATTCCTCAAAAATTACCTGATGATGGCCTGTCTGGGCCAGAACATGTTGCTAATGGAACAATAAAAATATTTGTGTGACGGTAACCCTTTAGCTTTTATTTGTGGTACCATGCATGGAGTGTAAGTTGGTGTTCCTTCTAAACGTTCTAATATACTAATTGATGGGAATATTTTAGAAGTTTAAATTCAAGTGAGAATGCTGTGAAGTCCTGTAGTTGTTTTTGGAAATACTGCACAAAGGCAGTTATTTCACATACTATATGGCTTTCAAATAGAATGAAATACTTATTATAATTTGAACCTGGTTCCTTACATGGAACCTCTTCAGAATGTTTTAAATTAATGTCCTGGTCCCAGGATTATCTCAAGTGGATTTGTAGAAAGTGATCTCTACTTTTATGGTTAATGTGTAAGGGGCTTTATATCTGAATTTGGTTGGTGCCTTTCAGTACAGGTCTAGTCCTTGACTATAGCATCGTATGAACGAGAATTAAAAGTCACTAATGTGCACAATATTAGTAGAACCATTGATTATTTGCATTGGGTATTGTTGCTCCTTAATTTATCACATGTTGCAAAGTCTCATTTAAACTTCCTGTATCGTTGCATTTTTGCATAATTTATCTTGTGTTTCTTATTCTGTGTTGTCAGGGTTAGAGTTAATTTTCTAGACTAGTAATTGTTTCTTAATGGGCACATGTGTTTTTCTTTCTACAATTTCTCCAGTTAATTCAGCAGAACAGACTTCAGTGTGCCATAAATAATATTTGTTATTGAATAATAAATAACTTTTTTTTTTTTTCAAACATTAGGATCATGAAGCAAGGATTTTAATAGAAGCTCGCAAAGGTGCTGTGGATAAAGACTTATCAGGTCGTATCAAAACTTTGGAGGAGAAATTGAAGGGTACAGCTGTTGATAAAAAGCCAAAAGACCTGCGACGTGCAATAGGTACAGTACAGACATATGTAAATATATCACATTCCATGTATCCAAAGTTAGTCAGAAATTGCCATATAGTGTGGAGTATGTCATAAAAATAGAAAACATAGACAGTATAGACAGTATAACTGAAGCTGTCACAAGAAATAAATAAATAAATTAATGAATAGAAAGTAAAATATATTGATAGTATTCTTATTTATGTTATTGGGCAAGGTATGCTTTACTTAAAAAATTTGTCATTTTAGGAAAAATAGAAAAGACAGATTGGAATGTAAGAGAAATAGAGAAGAAAATACTTGAGAATAAGATGGGATGTGGCATAAAACATGAAAGACCAGAGAAGGTACCGAAATGGAGTCGTGAGCAATTTGATGACAAGGTAAATTTTAACACTGAATTAAAACGCAGATAATTTACAGCTGTACCTCATAGGTACAGTAAACCTGCAACAGTATGAATTAAGTTTAACAAGGCTAATTGCATTTTAATATATGGGAGTGGTGGCACCTGTCATGGTGGCAAATGTGTGTAAGTGTCAATCTTCTCTTTTATCTTGCTTGAGGGATACAGTGAGAAAGTTGTATATTCTTAATTAGTGCTTGCAGGTATATTATACTAGAACAAGGGGATATGAACATTTATGCACGAAGAATGGGTGAAAGCGCCTCCATGGTAATACAAATTATGTTTTATTTTCAGTGAAGTGAATTTTCAGGGGCTTTGAGAGTACATTTTTACATCGAGTAAAGCATTGGGGTGAAAAGGAGGACACATTTCTTTTGTTTTTGGTTTGAAAGAGTGCTTATATTTTATATTCACAGTATTAGTCTAATTCTGTAAGTAATTCAAAATAATTTTGATAATACTTTTGTAGTTTCAAGCAGTAAAGTCAAAACTTCAAAAGAAAGGCCATGACAAGGAGATGCCACATAAGTATGCTGATATTGATGAAAGTTTCAAGCAGTTTGACAGAAAACTTAAAGAAGCAACCCTTGTGCAAGTGGGACCCCGTGGCAGTAACAAAGTATCAGCTATTGCAGAACAGCTTTCTGGCCGGAACCAGGAACCAGAGAAACCCACCACCCAGAAATCGGTTAGTAATCATCATATGATGACTGACAAGGTAGCAGATAATACTAGCAGTTGTGTGTCTTGTGAATGTTAAAACAACTTAGGTAAGATTTGAGATTCTTGCAATGGTGAAAATAAAGTTTTGGTCTTTGCATTACCATAATCTTAGAATGGATTTGTTTTGTGGTTCAAGAAAGAATATATTGTAGAATAATAACAATTTGATTTCAGAAATGAAAGCATGCGATAACTTTGTAGTTAGCTGATTTTTTTTTTTTTGGCTGGCACACACCATTTAATTTTTCACCATGCACTTTAATGAGGGAATAAATCTAATAACATGATTTTATTTTATACATGAAAGTGTTAGAAGACTCTTTTAATCAATCTGTAATTGTGTGACAAATGCCAGTCAGTATTAGAATTTGTTCCATATGTGCTGTGGCATTGCAGCATTGACTTCAGCAGTTGCATACGAGCTTCATCCCTGTGACTCTGCCAAAGATTACAGCTATGATGGTTAGTGAGACTGTTGTTTGAAACACTCCAAAAGAAAAATTCAAGAGGGATCAGTTCTGTGGCCCATGGTTGCCAAGGAATAGATCTTCTGTACCCTGTTCAACTTCCAACCAGCTGATATATTGGGTTTTTATTGGGTGTGTTATACACCATCGTCAGAATCCTATAATAACTATTCCAACCATCTGTTCATGCAGAAATGCTTTCACATTCAGCAACATTCTTGCTACCTTAGACATGCACATATGTCTAACATGATTCTATTGCAGAAGACATACATGTCCAGTTTCCTATCTTGCATTCAGGTGATGTGCCAAGGGAAGTTTGCCCTTCTCACTGTTTTCTTCTGATATGGTCTGTAGCAGCTGTAGTCCATTATAAGGTTTGAAGCAAAATCTCTTATCCGTGATGGTTGAATGATTGTTTTTGGAATTCATGGGTCAGTAGGCTGTTCAAATTGATTTGTTGGAACTTTGAGCCAGTGCTTCTCAGATTTGATTGGCCTGTTGTTTACTAGTTTGTGGCCTGCGGGGCCTTCAGTTTTGCAGATGAAGCCTATATTCACGCTTTGTCATTCCAATATCTGTTTGATTTCTCAGGAGTCAGGTGCTTCCTGAATGTTGCTCAGAATCACAGCTGAGCTCTGTGACACATTTTTATTTGTAAAATGAAACAAAGTGCTGAGGTTCTTGGTTGATGTCATTCTCTGCTGAGGAAGTGAAATGTTGTCTTTGACCAGAAAGTTTCATGTGCTTCTGTACATTTACATTGGAACGTTGCTTAACAAGCAATTATCATTACGAGTAATTCACATAACGAACAAAACATATTGTAAAAAAATGACTCGCTTAATGAGCGACGTTTTGCATAACGAGTGACAAGAAGGGAAATCCTGGATTGTGCACTTGCTACATCAGTCTGTGTTTAGCACTCGTTCCGCTAGCATTTTAGTGTCGCTTGTGATCACAAATTTTTCCACACCTGTGTTCAGACATATTATTTGTGATTTTTTTTTGTGCAAAGTTCCCTTGCAAAAATGGCCGCGAACAAAAAGCCGCGAAAAGAGCCATAAGAGAATAAAAATAACCATAGAAATTTATTTAATGATAATGCTATGTCGCATTTTCACCAAATTTTGAAGCGTTGGCAAAAACAAATGTCTCTAGACAGCTTTCTAGTAAAAAATAATTAGATATGTATCATAAATAATAAACTAATTATTTCGATTTTTTTTTTCTGCGAATCAAATTCACATTCCAGGTTGGTTCATCTGCATAGAAGAAAAGATGAATCACGCTCCTTAACAATGTATATATAATTTTCTTTGAATAAACGTTATACATAAAATTTTTTGAGTATTTTTTTGGCATGGAACGCATTATCGTATTTTACATTAATTTATATGGGAAAAATTGTTTCGCTTAATGAGTGTTTCGCATTACGAGTAAGATTCTGGAACGCATTATGCTCGTTAAGCAAGGTTCCACTGTATATTTATTTTCACTTCAGGGATCCAATCATCTCCCCATAGGGCTGGATATAATACATGTCACACCTTAAAAATTCATGATGACTACACATCATACGTCCTTGGTCCAATAAAATATATAATCAGGCCTCACGTAGACAGCACAAGTTGTCAAGACAACACACCTAGGCCATGGCAAAACCACTGTCAAATTCATACCTTGCCATGCCACACACACTGGCAAGCCATATCATCAGTACAGTTTCGTTGTAACATATTAAAATTCATAACAAACACAGACATCATACATACTGCCACACTTACAGCAAGCAAGTCTCAACAACGTATAATACAAGCACACAGACCATTTATTAACTCTTAACATTTGAGCCCCTTGCATGCTCGACAAATTCATCAATAGAGTAAAATGAGTTACTTTGCAAGTAATTTTGTAAAACAAATATAAATTGATATTTATCATTTTTTAAAACTGAGATATTTGATGGCAGAGTGTTAAATAGCTTGACACCTGAATAATACACCCCTCTCTGATAGGATGATAAATGTGTTGAAGGTATATGAAGGTGATCATTCCTTCTTGTACCAATCATGTATACAGAGTTATTGGTCTGAGACTTATCCAAATTATTAACAAGAAATGTCATCTAGGACAGCAAATATACACATGGCATTGGCAGTATGTCAAGCTCTTTAAATGAATCTCTACATGTATGAGTTGTGCCCACTCCCATCATTATTCTTATTATTTTCTTTTGCATAAGAGAGACCTTATGACTGTCTGATGTATTTCCCCAATATATTATTCCATATTTCACCAATGAATGATAATATGCATAATATACAGGTTTAATACTATTAATATTTAATATATAGAATAATAGGATATCATGATTTATCATGTTTCTTCATTCTTGTAACTGTTCTAGTTCATTGAATCTTGACGTAGTGGAATATTTTTAAGATGTTTACATTTAAAATGTTTGAAAACATAGGATGTCCAAATTATTTACTTCCAGCAATTTCCCCATGAGGGTGTTTACAGTATTTTTAATCTACTTAGTGTTTTTCCTACATAAGAAGAGACCCTGGATAAGATGCACCATTTAATGCTATGAAATTATCCTTTTATCCATTTAATGTGTTTCCTAGTACTTATTTTTCTCAAGGTTTCTTGTTCATAACAGACTACACCCGATACAATAAATGGTTATGGCTTCCACTGTGTAATGCTTATGAACACCTGAAGCTGAGTGGAATTTAGCAATTTTCTGTGGTGGCTCGTCTGTCATGTTTCAGTAGCACTTAAAGCTGAAGTTAAATTGTTGTCATCATTTTTGATGAAGATCTTACGATTCTCTTTTGACTATTTTACATTTTTGTTTTCATTTGTGCTTCATCACATTGATACTGTCAGTCCTGTTTCTGAGTCATGGTGAGGTCTAGAATCTGGCTGTATTTCCATCCTTCTGGGTATGCTAGCACCATCCATCTTTAAGGCAAAGTGACTACTTGCATAACCTTCTCAAATGTGTGCCACTTCTGTCTACTTTTCTTGATAACAAATGGAACCATAATTAAAGATATTAAAGATAGCGTCTAATGATCAGCATTTCTGTGTTGTTTTGTGGGGTCTGGGACACCACTTACTCCAGGCAAGTGTGCAGATTCTGCATTCAAATAGGCCATAACTTCTTCCTGCCACAGAGAGTCTTTCCAATTCATCATTGACATTCGTCTTATTGTTTAACACTACATCACCTGCACAGGTGCAAGAGTGTTGCTAAACAGTGGAAAATTTAATCAATTTAATCAGGTGGGCTTTATTATGAGACTCTGTCAACTGTGGTATTTATAATATATTGCATAGCATCTTTGCTGGATTTTGATACTGCCTTGAACTAACAAGGTGGTCAAGTTTGTGATTGACATGATGTGGTGTATTTGGTACAGAAGTTCTGGCAGTTAACTTTAGAAGAAGGATATAGAAATATAGTTGTTATGAACGAATTAATGTCGACACTAGGATGTGTTCCCAATTATTTTTTACTTCATTACTTTAAGTAGTCTGACATGTGAGCTGATATCTTTGTGATATTTTTCCAGAATTCAAAGCCTGCACTATTCTTGCCTACCCAAGGTGGTTCAGAGTCTTGTCACTTCTGTGGGAAAAGAGTTTACCTCATGGAAAGGCTAAGTGCAGAAGGGAGATTCTTCCATCGGGGCTGTTTCCGTTGTGAATACTGTAGCACCACTTTGAGATTGGGTATGTAGTTCTTGTTTGTATTAATTTTATTGCTTATACCTTAAACCCAAATAAGGAATTTGACTGTTGTCTGTGATCCACATTTTTAGCCATAACTCTTATCTTTGTAGGATGAACCTTAATTTTTGTAATCTTGAAAAGAATTTTTATCCCTCTTCCATACAATTTTCCACACTCACACTAAATTTAAAGTATGCGTTGCTTATTCTCTCACCATTCAACTCCCAAAATATATGAATGCCTTGTGTCCTCTGTCAGTAATCACTTGTTAATATATTCACAATTACCCTTTATGCTTGAAGGCAGGTTCTTCCTTCTAAAATTTATGAAAATATCATGTTGTGGTTACTAGGGACCCTCTTGTCTTGAATTTAAAGGACAGTGATGATGCTAGAAATGACAAAATAAGAAACATAATTGGTGTGAGATATTTAGTAGGAATATTTAAGCCAACTTATTGTATGTGGCACTGTTACAACATTTATATGGAGACAAGAGGTAACTAAAATGACGCTGGAAAAGATGAATAATTGAGGACCAAGAATAAAGTTGCAGATGAATAGGAAAGATGATGGTAAGGTGGGAAGTATGAGACAAAAGATTGATCATAACAGTCAGGAGAATAGGAAGGGAAGAGGAATTTGAATAAACTGTCCTTAGTGTGTCTAGACAAGTCCATGGCTGCATGCTCCTCTGATGTATTTGATTCAGTATTTATCCTCACCAGTCCAACTTCTCTTCATATCTCCATAAGCCCAAAGCAGAAATATTTCTTTTCAACGTGCATTTATTTCTAATAATTCATGTGTATAAATTTCAGTTGAATACATTTCTGGTTCCAGGTAATTATTCATTTGACCGGGAGGGTAAATTTGGGAGTAGATTTTTTTGCACACAGCATTTTGGTCTCCAGGGAAGCCAGAGAATGAAACTGAGGAGGAAGAGTGATGAATTTATATCTGGCCTTGACAAGGAGAACATTCCTGCCAAATCATCACCAAAAACACCAGAGAAGGTATAGAGTAATTGTTTATTTTATACAGTACCATTTTGAATATCACTGTCTTCTTGGATTTTATGCCATGTAGTCTAGTAGAAGACTTTCAGCTGGTCATGGATGATGTAGGATTGAAAACACTGAGGGTGTATGGCATCCATTGACTGGGGTCATGTCTGCACTGGATAGACAAGTCATTCAGTTGACATCAGGGCCAAGGAGACCTACTGGCTTATCTGCCTCCAAGATTGAAGCATCTGTGGCAATTCACAGCACCAATCTTAGACATCACATAGTGCCAGAACACCAGTATCCTCTCCATGTAATCCGTATATTAGGGAGGAAAATGCAATTGAGCTCCATCCCAACAACACGAACAAGGAGAATGGTTTCTGCCTAAACAAGTCTTGGAAACCTCTCGTCTATTCCCAAAGAGAACATAGGAGGCCTCCTTTTGTGATCTGGTTGTCAACCAGGTCTTTAGGCTCATTGTACACTGCCCTTTCCAGGCCACCTATAGCTGCTCTTATTCTTGCATCGCTACATTGTAATGTCATTCTGAAAGCATTCTTGTATACAAAGTCCAAGCAGTCGATATGAAGTTTTTTACGAGGCGTATCCACAAAATAATTTTCGTTTGCAAATATTGCTGCTGCAGCTCTGCAGTCACGATGGTGTACATGCATGCAGAGTAGGTTGGTCCTTTGGCAGGCACAGATGTCATTTGCAAACAAACCACATTTATGGACCATCCTGTGTGTTTACTGTGGTCAAGAAAATCGAGAAGCCCACTGCATGTGAAGTGCGGTCTGTAATCCGTTTCTTGAATGCAAGATACATGAAACCAGCTGACATTCATTGTCAACTTTGTTAGGTGTATGTGACAACATGCCCTGAGTGAATAAATGGTACGGAGATTGGTGAGACACTTTAACGAAGAATGCGAAAATGTGCATGATGATCTGCAGAGCGGCTTACTGTCAGCGGTTAATGAAGATGTGGTTCATGCAGTGGGAAGAGAAGATTCAAGAGAACAGAAGATACACAATTTCATCACTTTACCTGCATTTTTCACAAATTTCACGGTCACTTCTTAATGAAATTGTGTCTGATAAACTTTGTTTTTGAATATCGTATTCATGCTGGTTGCCAAGGATGCTTATGAAAGAACACAAAATGAAATAGCAGGCCAGTGCGTTTCTGACAATACAGTAAACAAGGCGATGACTTCTTGAGCCTCATAGTCACAGGGGATGAGACATGGGTTTCACACTTAACCCCTGAATTGAAGCAGCAGTCCATGGAGTGGAGGCACACATAATTGTGGATAAAGAAAAGAATCAGACAGATCATTTCAACTCTCAGGATAATGTGCTCAGTGTTTTGGGATAGAAAAAATGTTTCACTTGTGAAATTCTTGCCTCAAAGCTGAACAATCAATGCAGGTGTCTGTTGTGTTGTGCAATCCAGAAGAAGTGACATGGCATGCATAGTCAGGGTGTTGTGATGCTTGATGACAATGCCCACCCACACACTGCCACCACAACACAAAATACAGGAAAACANACGGTAGGACTCCTTGGGCGGGTGATCAGCTCGTCGCAAGGCCTCTACCTGTACACAAACACAGGAAAACACACACAGACATCCATGCCCTGAGTGGGATTCAAACCCACGATCCCGGCTTCCGAGTGAGCGAAGACAGTGCAAGCCTTAGACCGCTCGGCTACCGTGACCGGCCATCTTGACATTCAGCTGGGAACAATTTGATCATCCTCCCTACAGCCAGGACTTTTCACCAAGTGATTTCCATGTGTTCCTACATCTGAAAAATTTCTTTGATGTCCGTTGGTTCCATGACAGCGAGGTCAAAGAAACCATTAACACATGGTTTGCATCGCAGGCAGCATCATTCTATCGTGCAGGGATACAAAATCTTGTGCCCCTCTATGACAAGTGCCTTAACAATGGTGGAAACTATGTCAAAAAGTTAGTTCTGTAAATGTGACTGGAAAACCATAGTTTTAACAAAAATATGATTAAATCTAGTACAAAGAGATTGAATTTCACTTCTGTGCAAGTAGCACTGAATGCAGTAGAAACTGCATTTACATGCAGTATTTAAGAATATATATCCTACATTTCTTTAATGTTTTCCCAATTTTCTCACTGTAATTCTAGTTGATGTACATGTTAGAACCCTGAACTAAATTTAATTGAAAATGTTTTGTTTTTTAAGCATATCTACTAAATCTGCTAGCTGTTGGCAGAAAATTTCACAACAAACTTGCTCTCTTAGCACTCATCTCTTTCAAATCTTCCCATAGATACATTTTAATTCTATAAAGTTCTTGTCAACTTTTCTACAGTTTGCCACCTCATCTTATTGAGAATATGTGAATGAATGTATATGCAAGGTGGTGATGTTTCGGTATAAAAGCAAATATAAGTAAATATATATTTGAATATTTTGGTTTTCTTATGTAGGCAAAATCCTTATCTGAGACGATGGACAGGATGGCACTCACAGAACTGGATATGCTGGATGCCAAGACTACACCAGAGCGAATAGAATTTGAGAATCTGACAGCAGCTGCTTCAGATGTAGAGGAAGCCCCTAGTGAAATGGATGAAGATGAATGGACTGATCGTAATTTTGGGGCATCTGCTGTTGAAGGATCCAGTGATTCCATTTCAGATCTGAGGTATATTCTTTGTATTCGCCTTCATCATTAAGTAACTTTTTTTTTTTTTTTGGTATTTACTGATCACAAATTTTTCTTGATCTCTGTAAATTCTTATTATTATAGCAGAAAGTAATGGAGCATGGTCAGTTTGAGTCTCAAGAGATTCCCCCCCCCCTCTTCCGAAGTCAGTTTACTGGTCTGAAAATTGGAAGGCAAATGATGTTTGATTGTCACAGCCTAAATTAGACGGTATATTTATAAGAGACAAATATGCAATGCTACATTATTCTGTACAGGAAATTCCCACTTTTATAAAGTAAGAAACTAAATGAACTCATTATCAAAAACATCAGATATAGATGTTTGTAGGTAATAAATTGCATGTAGAGAGATCTTTATTTTAGGGTATACTTCCATTCTGAGGAGGGAGGCAACAGTTTCTCCAAAACACTAATAGCCACCTATGAAACTACATTACTACATTGTGTTATAAGACCATAATACTAATTTTAATCCAGTTGTCCCTCTATATCCAGGTTATATTTTATTTCCACTGCTGACAACAGTTGTTAAGTACTGATAGTAGCATTTATGTCTCAGTACTGGAATCGTATTAACTTCGCATAGTTGATAGAAAGTATGGCTTAGTCCAAGGTTGTGCATTACAAAACACGATTATGCAAAGGAAGCGAAATAAGCTTGTCTCAGAATTGATAGCTTGGAATAATAAGCTTGTTAATGTAACAGTGAAACTTGTTTTCAGAAGCCATTTAATTTTGCTATTGGCCAGATTACAGACCATGCTGAATTTTCTTGTGATTTTCTTTAGGATAATACAGAAAAATGTAATTATCACCCTCTTCCAATTCCTTCTGTAGCCACCCACCTTTCATGATCATATAGCCCTATCTTTTGATGCAGTTGAAACTGTCATGAAATGATCTAAGAATTGATCAGCCAGTTGCTGGAAACAAAATACTTGGAAGGCAATAAAAGGTTTTCTTTTTCTCTGAGCTATCTGTCCATCTATCACATGTCATAATGGATCTCTTCTGAATGAATATCTGATACAAATCCTTACCCATTCTAGTGATTCTGAAGAGGAAGCAAATGAAGTTTTTGAAGAGGCAATTGAGCAGCCTTTGACTCTAGATGAAACCCGCCGTTTGGCTGAAACGTGGACACGCCGGTATTCAAAGACCCCTGAAGACAAACAGAATGGTGTTGATAAAGGAGTAAGACAGGAAGGGGAAGATGAAGATAGTGAGAGTTATGAATATGAAGAGAGTGATGACCTGAGCTACCCAGAGTATGAAAGTGATGGTAGGTTGTCATGTGAATCCATATTTCTACAGAATGCAGTTTTGAAAGATTATTCCTTGCATTTATGTATTTTGTCTTCATGGTGTCAGAAGAACAACTTTACTTCAACTCCTACAAGGAGAATAGAATCTAAGATTTGCAAAGTGTAATAAGTTCTTGGCTTCGTGACTTCTACTGTGAGGGAAGTGAATATTTTCATTTGTTGTGAAGCTAAGAATTATAAGATACATTTTCCCCTTTGGCTATTGAATTTTAATAGTAACTAGTTCATCTAAGTACTCAGTTATTGCTGGTAATGAATATGAGAAATTTAATGATACAGGGTGTGTGATGTTTAATTATGCATCACCTCCATGAGCTGCATTGCTCCATTTGGTTCTATGTTTGATTTTCCCCAGACAGTTCAACTTCTGCTTACAAACCACGTTAACTCTGCTGAGTCTGTACCATCTCACCTGAATGTCCATAATCAGTAACTCTCTTCCAATATCTTTCATTGTCATAACTTCATTAAATAACCATTATGGGATTATGGAAATACTACATTATACCCATAATATTGTCATGTTGGGTATGCCACGCAACAAATAACTTTACGTCGGTCTCGGATTCAGTGAATATTTCTTGAACACGTGTTTACACACATGAGTATAATTATAATCCACTACTTCACTGTTATAATTACTTCTTGTACCACTGCTCTCGGGGAAGTCTTCTATTCCCTTTTTCGGATGCGAGCTGGTTTCTGCTCTGTTCGGAGCTACACTGAGAACTGGCCGACTGACCCCAACAAGTGCTGGAACTTCACTGTTACTCCCTGTTACTGTTTGCCCCAGGCAACGGTCCACTGTTATCACGTTGTCTCTGTGGGAACTCTCCGTGTATTCGTGACCATGGAGACTCATTGTAGGCTGTAAACTTCCTATTGTGGCTGTTGCACAGCGATGACTGTAAGATAGCACGTTAAATATATTTGCAGAGTCCTATTCATCAAACGACAGAACCATGGCGTGGTAGACACTCAACTTCCTTTAAAGAGAGGCAATATGAAGGACACGAACCAAATTGGTTCTAAAAATTTTAACAAAACCTTTTTAAACACATTTGTAAACAGACTAATTATAATAATTTATAAATATTTTAATGTATTCATGTGCGTTTCTATAGTTGTTAAAGGATCAAATTTTCTATTCCTGGCATTGTGATGATATTGCATGCTATTACATCTTAAGTGGGGGGGGGGTTGATGAAAATACTAAGTGCCGGTAGCACGGTAGGCGGGCATTCTACCACTGTGCCACCAACGCCTCCCCATATGTAATGCTGCGGCGACAGGCAGGGTTTTATATCCCACTCTGCCACCGTATATTATGCCTCGGTGACGGGTGGATTGGGTATCTCACCGCTGTCCCCAATTATTATGCCATGGTGATGGGGGTGGATTAAATACAACTACTAATTCACTTTGTCATTCAACCCTGTGTTGACTCGTCCCACCGCTGTTACCCTAGGTAATGCTTCGATGGCAGGGGTGGGTAAAACGCAGTTACTCCTTCTCTACGTCAGCCACCTTGTGTTGGCCAATCCCCACCTCTGCCACCACTTTGTTATGCCTGAAGGGGGCTAATGGAATAATACTAAATTACTCTTTCCTTGTTCCATCAGGAACGCAATCCCCTTGTCTACTACTAGTCCCTCACCCTTAACTGTCATTGCATCCGGCTGCCGTTGACTTCCTGGGGTCAGTTCTGCCTTTGTTGGGACTGGAAAGGGTGGAGTTTGTGAGGGTGAATCATAACTCTGTGTACATCCTACCCTAATTACACTGTCTATTTACACTCGTATTTACAATAGAAGAATGCCGACGTCTGTCGGTTTACACATGGTATCGTTTCGTTAATAGTTCATAATTCCGTTCTAACCTCTCGCCTAGAGCCGATGGCTTGAGACTGTCACTTCCTTCATTACTATTACTCGATACACCATCTCCATCCTACCCTAGGTACACTGATCTATTTACACTGTATTTACAATAATCTTTACAGTAATAACAGTGCCGACTTTCAGTCAGGACTACATAGTGTCTTTCCCTTTCCAGGCACTCACTTCATTATAATCTCCCCTTCTGGGGTGTAAGACTCAAGTCTGTCTCTCTCGTCTTTCCCTAATTCGGCCCGTGAGGCCATACAGTTTAATCATTCGACGTGAACCTTTTTTTCTCTCCATTCCTACCATCCATTGCACAGTTCTTACCCTATCCTAGCATAAAGTTTCACCTTAAATTATTCTGCTCCTAAAACCATAAATACTAAAGCCTCCGTATGTTTTTCACAAAATCAATGGTCACAACAATGAACAACAAATGTGCGTGCTCTGCACACTACCAGCAAATCGTAACACACAATATAATGACGGCCATATTTACCGTACTAGCAACCTCGGCAATCACTTGTTACATTATTTCTCTTATCCTATCCTAAAAATTCGCTGGGGCCATTGGGAGTCACTTTTCAACATTTCACAACAAGAATAATAAATTTGAATAGTATGGCTAATATGAGCAAACATGTCTTACTTGAAATAGAGATGCAGCAACACCACCACTTATAGTACCCATGTCGGACAGAGCCTCCGGCTCCTTGCTGAATATTATGTTTAGATCTTTTTTTCTGAAAGTCTTTCTTTCGCTCTTTATACCAAAAAACTGCTCACGCAGCAGGTAACCAAAGAGGGAAGTTAACTCCTCCCTTTGTCCTAAAATTCGAGGCGGCAGATTCTCATTGGCTAACCCCTTTGGTGGTGGGCGAACCCACAGTGTCTCTTCGCTGTGTATTTGACAATTTCATCTGACTCCAGTGGTCTGATAAAGCATGTATTCTGCTTGTGCAATTGCGCATTTCTGCTGATTAAGTACATCGTTGACCTGGATCCCCTGTCCAGGTGTTGCCATCATTGCTCTAATTGCTGTAAAACGCTTTTGCAAGTCTCGTAACATTTAGGCAATGCCTTTGATTTAAAGTCTCGAAAATGCGGCATAACACATGCATTGACAAAACACATTGTAATAGTAGTTCCTGCCTGCATTGATATATCCTTCTGAAAATGATCTCTAAGACTGAAACATGTCAAGGATGAAAGATTAAAAAGGAAAGAGAGAAAGAGCATTTTATCAGTCACACTGGACAGAGTTGATTGACCTTTTGTAACAATTATGTTGCTATTTTCCTTGAGGAAGTTTGGGATTGAATCTCCATCTTCCAGACTTCGCATTCCACCTGACTATCAATCATACTCCTGCTTCATCCTTCTGTAGGTAGCCTTATGTGCAACTGAATTACCTGTAATAGGAAGTGCTACAGTTGAAGTTGGTGGATTGTGACAGAAATAACAACTGATTTCTGAAGGTGAAGCAGACATATGATTGTTCAGAACTCTGTGTGCATGTATACATTTAAAATGAGATCTACTTTGTGAATTTGTCTGTACTCACATGTTTTTAATGGACAGTGAGAAGGATTTCCTCAGTTTGAAACAAGACTTCTGAAAAATTTTGAGAATTGAGACAAGACTGAAAATTGTCTTGACCAGAATAATTATTCTGTTGTAAGCACAATCCATAATGCTAGCCAATTGTTAACAGTGCACCGAAATATACTACGTATCCCTTTGATGTCAGGTCTTTTTTGTGGAACATTGTTCATATATCAGTGTATTAAAAAAAATCCAGTTTGAAGTTCATGCCCTTTCATAGAATGGACAGAAAGAGGAAGAGAGAGTAAGGTTTTTTTCACAACTTTATTGTGCTGGCATTGCCAGCCTTTATGATTCTGATAGATCAGATGGTTTGTGTACTGCTCTGCCAAACAGAAACAGTAATATGATAATTCCCAGAGTTCAAGACTGAAAAACAAACGTTCAAATCAAGCTAGAGAATTTTTTGTCTTAGTTCAATCTCAACAATTAAAAATTCACACATGCCTAATAAATACTTCATCTCGGTCATTTATGTAGAGGCTCTTACTATATTAGGTTACACTTTAAAGTCATATCTCAGAAGTTAATACGTCCATAAATATGAAACAGATATTTTTATCTAGTGGCATTTATACTTTGACAAATGGTCTATGTTGTTCTTGTGTAATGTGGACAGCGTTCCAGCTCTCCTATCTTAACTATGACAACAGTTAGGACAGTTCTTGCTTGTAGCTCATCAGTGGTTCATGGTAATAACATACACATGATTTTTATGTAGTTCACAATTATGGCACTTGCTATAGCCAAATCAGGTGTCCAAGGAGGCTACATTATGGGTCTCACTCAATCCATGCACTGGGGACACTTTGTATCCCAGTCTTGTTCCATGGACGTGTGTTTGTTTTATGTGTGCCATAAATCGAGATGGAGCTGGGATACCTTGGCTAAACTAATGACCAGGCTGCAGTCTGGATGATGAAAGAGTCAGTGTGGTTCCTGGTTCTCTTTCCCACATATCCTCACTGGCTCTGGGGCCCACTGAGCCTCTTATCCAGTGGGTACCAAGGGCTTTTCCCCATAGTTAAAGCATGTGCAGAATATGTGGGTACTTACCTCCATTTCCATCTGTGTCTTCATGACACGGATCTGAATTAAACATGGGGACAACTTAACCTTTATCTTTATCTTATCATATCCTGAAATGTTCTGTTTGTCCATTCTTCCACAAATGGGGAACATGGCCTCACTTGCTAGCTCATAGTGAACTCATTGTTCAGAAGTGCAAGGTAATTTAGAAAGGCCCTGTTTGCATGATGTATATTCTGTAATGAAATAGTGACCCATGTTAACAATTGACTTCTGATCTGCTGACATCCAGATGATGAGAGTGAGACAGCCACTGAAGGGGAGGATGAGATCCGAGCACGTGAACTGCGGAAACAAGAAGTACACCTGAAAGTGCCAGAAAGACCAAAAGGAAGGCAAGAGTCAGACACTGGTTCTGATACTGAGGTGAAGACCCAGAAGCTTCTTACCCCATGCAGCAAAACTAAGAAACACAAAAATAAGAATTGTGCTTTGCAATAATCTTACATGATGTAACATTGTGTGATAGATAATAAATTGACATATATCTTAAAATTATAGGATATATAGTCAGAGTAAAATCAGTTTGATAGTTACTTTATTTGAATTATGAGTTCAAAAAAACTGAGGGGTTACCATATTGTTAATGCAGTGAACTCCCTGTTATCTAGCATGTATGGAGAAGGGGTGTCACCAGTTACATGAATCTGCTAGTTGCATGAGCAGAACTCTTACAGAACCAAGTCTCTGTGCAATTTTCACCTCTTTCCAGTCTTTTAATAATTCCATCTTCTGTTTCAATGCCTGAACAACATGTTTTTGCTTTAGTTCTTGCTCGGGAGTCTCTTTAGTAGACATTGTAGATTTATGGGTGAAAAATATCTGGAAAACTTGCTAAAACTGACCTATGCTGTTAATTGTGCATCATTACAAGTGTAACATCACCTGATTGAGGTAGGATGAAGGGCAAGTGCTACCAGTGGTGGCTGGAAGAACTACTGCATTGCAGGTAAACAAATGCATGTTGTCAAGTTTATTTTCAAGTACACTTATAAAAGAAGTTAAATTTTTGTTGGTTGTGTAAAAATTCTCAATGCTTGGATATTAGATAACTGGGAGTTTACTGTGAATTGCTATCAGGTGTGGATTTGCCATTATCTTCACTTGAAAATGCAGTATTTTATATTGAAGTCACACTCCATTATGAAGCCCTTTTGTGGTTTGCTTACCATCACATTGTAGGAAGAGTTGTGTGCCTTAATGAACTCAGCCCATTTTGACCATAGCTTTGACTCCCGCGGGGTCAACTCTGTTGATAAGGCTGAATGGGTGAGGTTAGATTAAAGTGACTGCTATCCTGTCTGGGGCGATAAACTGCTATCCCATGCAAGACTTAGCTCGTGTGGGCCAATAACCTGTATGTGTTAAATTTAGTGTAAAAAAAATAAATCAGAGAGCCTGATGTGTTCGCTGTTCATCTTCAACTACCAGGAAGTGTCTATATTGAAAGGCAGCGTAATTGAATACTATTTCAATCTCGCTTTTATTGTTCTTATTTACAATTTCGGTACAGTGCACTGTATAAGCTGCGTGGTGGTTTTTACAAATGAGGAAGATAAAAGTAAAGAGACACAAAGGTAAATATGATTTTTGGTTTTGAATGTAAAGTGTTCTTGTGTGGCTTTTTATTTTGTATGATCTCTTTCTCTTTTTGTGTTTAATATTTTAACATACATTGCCTTCTAACAAAGCAAAATCTGTTTCATGAGATTGTTGATGTGTTCTAATTTTCCTCACACCACCACCAGCTAACAGTTCCACTACAAGTGGAAATGAAGTGCTAAGTTTGTGCTTTAAAATTAACTAACATGAGCATTTCATTATTATTAGGCAATTTTGTTAGGCTTATGCCAAATTTTTATCATTATCATGTTTTGGTGTTTGTTGTTGAATCTCCTTGAAGATGAAGTTAAATTATAAATTAACCTCTAAAAGGGTGAAAATCATCAAGAAGTATCTGAAAGCCTGGAGTCATTTCCTAGGATAGATAGAAGTTCCCTCCCCAGAAACTGGTGCAGAGTTACTGTATCAGTAATCGGTGACCATCATTTTTCTGCTTTTAGTTTATAATTTCTAGTAGAATCATTATTAAAATTGTTGTAATATGCCTTTGATAGAAGAAGTTCTGTCTGTGTTTATATCTAACTGATTTTACTTGCATAAATGTTTTTGCGACGTATGTACAGATTTCAGGACTTGTAAGCTGTGTGGGAAGTTCATCTATGTCCATAATAGAGTTTGAGATACAGACTGGGAACTATACCAAAATATAATTCAGAGTAGTTAGTACACTCTGAGTGGCAGACATTAATGACCTTAGCACAATAGCATAATTTGTTGCTGCTTTTGCATGATCCTGATCAGAGGTCTCTATCCCACAACTATAATGTATTTCTGCAGTCTTATGTTAATGCATGATGATGAGACTTTATTGTTAATGGGATTCTTACAGGTGTTAACATTTTTAAAAATTTAAAGAAAATGAGCCAAATTTCTGACACCTTTTGTGGTAACATTTAGGCCAGATAAAGTGGAATTTTTACAAAACTTCATGAAGTGTAAAATGAAAACAAGGATACTAGTGTTGCTAGACAATAAAGTAATTTATTCTTTTATTATAACAAGCAGTATGAAATATTTTAACTATTTGAGAAAGGGGGGGTGATATGAAACTACTGAATCATAGTTTATTTATAGCTTTAGTTTAGTTCTTGTGTTCAAAATATATGGAAATATTTAGATTTATGTCATAGCATATTTCAGACCTACACATTTGCTGCTGCTGTTGAAATATAACTGATCTCTGCAATGAATCAGATAGCTGAAATTGTTAAAACCAAAGTAATGTGAATGTTGAATGTGCATTGATAAATCAAAATTAATGTAAGTTTTGAAAACTCAAATTTGTTGATTCTCAGTATTTTCAGTTGTTAATGCAATTTCAGAAAAATAAATATCGCATTTGTAAATACAGATATATTTACTGGGCAGTTATAGGAGAACAATTTCTTTTATGCCAATCACTGAATAATAACTGAGTATAGTAATACTGATTTTTTATAATAGGCAGTTCTTTCCTCTGCTTTACTAAATTTGTAATAAGATGTTTTTTCTCTTGTTGAAGGTTGGTTCTGATGATTACACATCAACTGAATCTGAAAGTGAGGAGGACGAAGAAGAAAACTCTGCAACAGAAATTGAGACGGATTCAGAATTTGAACATGATGGGACAACTCCAACACAGCATGATGTTCCTTCCATTTTGATAGATGATAGCAACATCACGTACAGACGTGGTCGACGTGTGCCTGAAGAGCCCAAGAAGGTGCAGGTCCGTACTGGACACATTTTACGCCCCATGAATGGCACTCTTCTCAAAAGTCCAATTATTCAGAAGCAAGCACATGATGGGGTGAAGCTTGAATTCTCTCCTCTGCAGCCAGAGGCTGAGTCTGGCAAATCTGCAAGTCTGTCTAATCTGAATGCAGGAAGTAATGTTGTTAATAACAACACTACCAGAACACCACCTGTAGTAAAGCCTACTCCTCTCATCAATCCTCGACGTGGTGATTATTTTCTTAATAGAACCCACTCTACAGAAGGCATTGCTTCAAAGATGTCCCTGGAACTAAAAAAGAAATACCTCTTAGGGGCTTCAGGACTTGCTGGTTCTGTAAAAAAATCAGGTTCAGCCTCCACTCTAGACTCAAAATTTAAGAGCTTTGTAGATATGATATCAGAGCACCAGAAGCTATTAAATCCTGCACCAGAACCAAGTCCTACGATGCAGGCATTTCTTCAAGGAACATCCAGACTGCACGCCTCCCTCGCTAGTAATCCTCTGTCTCCCCCCTCTCCCACAATTCTCAGTCCTCCACTGAAGCTCCCCCCCTCCCCATCCCAGCAACCAGCACTGTTGTCATGCAGGCAGAAAGAATTGCCTCTTGGTGATGGGTTTGAGCATGTTTGTGGTTTGGGTAAAAGAGAAGCGGAAATGAAAATTTCTTCTAATAAAGAGGGAGCTGATAATTTGGCAGGGGATAAACTTGATATATCTAGTGGTGTTCCCAAAAGTGACAGTATAGAACAGGCTTCTAAGTTCAGTGATGCAGAAATTGAAAAAGTGAATTCATTTGTAGAACAGAATGTAACAGATGCTGATAGTCACAAAAATGGTCATTTGCTTCCTGCAGAAAGTAAATTGTATGTTGATATGGAGATGTCTAAACCCAGTATTACTGAACAGCAGCCTGAGGAAGAATTTGAGTGCCGGCCACGTAGCCCAGTTCATGAGACTTCAATAGTGGTACCTGAGGTGCCATGGAAAACTGTTGGCAATGATGCCAGTTGTGGTATCGGTGGGAGTGGTAATGGTGATGAGGATGATGATGATGATGATGACATTGTAACTGATTCACTCTCATCATCTAGCAGTGCTAGTGATTTGGAACATAGTGAAAGTGAGCATAAAAGCAAACCATCTTCCTTCTGTATTATACAAGACCGAACTCCACCAAGAGTGGAAATTCATAATTCCAGTGGTGAACTTATGACTGAGCTAGCTGAAGACAGGCCTAAGACTGATAAATCCAGTGATGAAATGATTTTACCACAGTTCATAGAAGTTATTAATTCTGTAGATCCTAGTACTGAAGGAGGCAAGAAAACTGCAGATACTCCAGTTAGTGAACATAAGAGTTCTGACATGACAAGTGATCGAAGCAGCACTTCAACTCCACCATCGACAAGAGGTGGAGACTCTGAATCATATCACAATGAAGCCACTCTAGCAGAGACGGAGTTGTCTGACTGGGCACAAGATGCTGATGCAGTTGTTTCAGAAGATCTTGAGGATGCAGAGTTCAATATTGATCCACGTTATGTTACAGTCCGCCGACACAGGAAACCTAAAACCATTAGAAAAAGTGACAGTGAATTGAGTAAACATGTGAGAATTGCTAGAAGTGAGGATTTTGATTTTGATGATGGTCCTGGACACATATGTGGTATTGATAAAAGAGTAAAAGATGAACAGGGGCCTAGTCAAGACTTTCCTTCAAACCCAGCTTCACGTCTGTTTTCAGACATGGATAACATTGAATTTATGGACACTGGTGAAGAGGAAAGTGGATCAGATGATGTGTTAGGTGTAGCAAATAAAGCACTTTTGCACAACAGTGGTTATGTACAGTTTGTAAATGCCATCGATGATGAGGATTTATCAACACCGGTGGTGGAAACACCAACCATAGCTCATGAGCTGCTTACCACATCCATACCACCATCTGTTGTGTTAAGTGAGTGTGAAAAAGACAGTGATAGTTTGGAGGCCTTGGATATGCTTAGTCAGGTTGAGGCTATGAACAGGGAATTGGTGGTGGCATCAGCAGGCGAGGATGAAGAAAGCTCTCTTCAGCCAGAAGGTACAACAACAGAAGAAACCACAACTAGTGAAATAGTTACAGTGAAGGACAGTCCTGTAGATGTTCCACAGGCTGAGACATCTGGCAGAGATGATGTCTTCTACACACCAATGCAAGAATCTACAAAATCAGCAGATGAAACTTCTGCTGATCCTGTTACACCTTCAGATGATCCAACTGGTACAGCATATGAGGAGTATGTTCGTCGCCTCCAAGGCCGCATATCTCCATTCAGCAATGTACGGGACTCCATAGATGTTAGAAAGTCTAGAAGACGGAATAAGGGCATGCACCATCAGCCTAGAACGCAAGAGCTCATTGCAGAGGAAAGTGAAGGTACTTCAACTTCACGAGTTGTTGGTTCAAGTTTCAATTCACCTGGTACATCAAGAAAACTTGAAGCAATATTAAGAGAGAGATCCAAGCAGAAAGATCTTATACATGAAATGGTCATGGACAAACTCCTGGCACAGAAGAAGTCACCTCATGAAAAGAAAGGTAAAAGACTTTCTCGTGGACCCTTGAATTCGTTTACACAATCACAAAACTGCCAACCAGATGCTGGAGTAAATTATGAAGGCTTAACTGTAGGGTCATGCAAAGAAGTGCCTGAAAGTCTTGGGACAATGAAAACTATGACAGAAATTGGTACAGATAAGGATGTAATTCATACATCACCAAGGGGGGGAACAACAGATGATAGTAACCAGGGACATTGTGTCCATCAGGACCTGGAAGTGCCTTTTGCTGATGATTCAACACCAGCTGGTGAAGAGACTGAAGAATTTTATACACCTATGACATCCTTTAAGAAACAGTCAAGATATTTACAACTTAGGCAACGACCTCTATCTGTTCATGCATTGTTCAGGTCTGATGAACATGCAGAAGGTAGTGTTTCAGAAAGAAATTCCTCTTGCCTACCTGAAACTCCGCTTACTAATCCAGAGGCATTTTCATTACCAGATATTAGGAAAGCTTTGTTCAACACTTCAGTTGAAATGTTAAAAACTCCTGTTGTACCTGCACGAAGACGAAAGGAAGAGGCTAAAAATGCTTTGGAGAGGGAACGAGCCAGAGAAGAAGCCAGACTTAGGGCTCAACTCAAGACTGATGAGGAGCTGGGCCTGAGTCCTGAGGATTACATCAAGATTTTAAGACAGAAAGTTCCCAAACGGCACGCATCAGATGCTGGCTCAAGTACCAAGCGACATGGTATACTTCGAAGTTTATCAGAACCTGGTGAAGAGCTGAAAATCAGTGAATGTTCTAGCTCAAATATGCAAGATGAACCTCCTCCATGTGACTCCAATGAACATTCATCTTCTACTACCCCAGCTGTCAGCAGACTTTCCCCAAGTCCTGTTGGTACTCCACTCCCATCTTATCAACAACTGCAGACTTCAAGTGAAGGCACCAGTGGTGTTGCTTCTCCTTCAAGTGCACCATTATCCAAGGTAATTAAAGACTTTCAGTTACGTCTATACTGCCTTAATGCCGTCAGTGTAGGATGGCCAGTTCCTGCATTATGTTGATGGAGACCAGTGAATTTGGAATTATTTCTAAAGTGTTTTTACTAGTACATATAATGTTAATATTGAATGAATCTAGGTATTAAAATACTTTTCATGTCAGCAGGCAAGTTATGGCAACACAGATGAGGTAATGCAAAGAGAGAGAGAGTGCTTTAATGCATGTTTAGGTGTCTTATGTTCATTGAATACAGATGTGTAATGAAGTTAATAACATAATGCTTGTGCGTTTACAATGAATTGTTTGAAATCAACATGTATTCGAACATGTAGCATGATTTTTCTATGTATTAATTCAGGGAGACCTAAATATTATAAGGATTTACAAAATTCCTTAACATGCTTGTTGTATCAGATACCAATAATATCCAGAAGTGGTTGAAATATGTAACTACAAGTCTGTCCCCAGGCTTCCAGTTACATGTAATAATCTGGATACTGCAGTATTTTTTTAACTGCTTATCATGGGGATATGAAAAGAGCGAAGAATATTTCATCATTGTCATCATTGTGAGCATTGTCTGAACAAAAGAGTTAAAGATTTTCTTAAACTTACATAATCTCTTATACTTGCAGCTGACTGCTTAGTAGGAGCTATGTTATATGAGCAAAATTCTTGCCTACTATTTTCTGCATGCCTGCAAGCATGAATCATTTATATTCCTCTCACAAGTTGCACCCACATTCTGCCCATTATTCACTACAAGTATGTACATGTGAGAACTCACTCAGCTTGCATTAAACTTGAGTAACAGACATGATATATGAAGCAGGATAAATCACACCAGTGCTTACTTATATATACACTGCATCACAGGGGTTTCTGAATCATCATCATCAGTAATCTGTCAAGATGACAGGTCCACAGTCTCTTTCAAAACAATTCCTCCACTTAATGCGATCTAGAGCTTTCTCCTTCAAANAGTTGGACCGATTATGTGAGAAATGAAGAAGTGTTAATTAGAGTCAGTGAGCAGAGGAATATCCTACATGAAATAAGAAAACGGAAGGCTAATTGGATTGGTCATGTTTTACGCAGAAACTGCCTTCTAAAAGAAGCTATCGAAGGAAAGATAGATGGGCGGATAGAATACCATGATGAAATACATGCACGTTGTAAACAGTGTCAAACAAGTTAATCTAGGCTGACAACCTTACCGCCAACTTGGAGCCGATTGTCTAGATAATGTGGGACTCTCAACATCTTACAACCCTATGGGCCTTCACAGCCTGGTACAGGGATAGCTTTACTTTTTTTACTTTTTACTGACTTCCTTTTTTGCTTTATGATAAGTTGCTGATTTCACACTGACATATTATTTCAAGTTTTATATTCAAGCCTAAGTTCTGTTTCATTGCTACAATTAGGGTGTTTCAAAATTTTGCAGTTGCTGCCAACCAAAACAGAGTACATGTTTGATGTGGCAAAACCTTAAACATGCATCTGCATAGTTATATTCTCTGGCATCATTGTCCCACTTAGGTCAGTGTTAGCACAAGAGAAGGAGAAACCTTTGTGAAAAGGAGGAGTAGATACTGCTTGGTGCTGTGGGCAACAGATGATGTTGCTGATCAAAGAATCTGGAATATGAACTTTCTCCTAGACAAGGGTAGGACAGGGAGGGTGGATTAATGCAGTCTTTAGGTGCTGTTAGTCATAAATAACTTTTGAAATGAACCTGCACATATACTTGATGCATAGGGTTGTGGGAAAATAGTGGCATGTAGTTATGAATCACTTGTTATGATGAATGTACTGGAAAAAAGCAATTGTTTTATGCGATGGTTTGCATATATACAGTATTAAGAAATTAGCTGCACCATTGGGTTTTGTTTCTTTAATTAAGCCCTCATTTTAAGCCATACTTTTCTACTGCAGTTTTGCTGTGCATTTTTCCATATATTAATTAAAATCATTATGTGGTATAACTTTTAGACCAACATATTTAGTTGTGTATTACACATACCCAAATTGTTGTGCATGATGATATTAATCTCTTTGGTCCAGGCATAGGGAATTTTAAATCCTGAAGGTGTAACTGGTTTTTAATTTGGCAGTAATGATTTTGAAAAAATGAAGTGCCCAGCTGGCTGGGCTCTGTGTGTCTGTGTTGCAGGGACGGATGCATGTGCAGCAATAAAATAGTGCAACATACAGTCACTCAAGGTTAAGGCAGTACATACTTAATGTAATATCAAGATAGTGGATACCAGTATAAAATTTCAATTAGATTTGTAGGCTTGTAATGAAATATGTAATCAACTCAGTATTTTCAGCTCAATATCTTTGCTACAAAGGGATTTCAAATAACAAACCTTAAATCTTACAGATTGAAGCAATGGTCATTGCTTGTATGAATTTTCACACATGTATTTCACTGTTATATAATATTATACAAGGAGCTCTGGGAAGAACCAATCATCTACTTCTCTTTCAGCACAGTATTTGGTATGACTAGTAGGGAAAAAAAATTAGCATGTACGTGTGATGAAGTCAGTAAAACAATGCAGCTTGAGGAGCTGCATTGTTGGAATCACTGATGGCAGGGATTTATGAAGTATGCCACTGATACAGCCTTGGGTGTCAGGGTATATGTAACAAGTTTTAAAGCAATTTGGATTCAGGCATTCAAGTAATTTTAAGGTTGAAGAAAGCAGTCTTCTGGGATTTGGCACTGTGTATATGTGGTGTTAACCGACGTTTCGGAGGAACGTATCGCCTCCATCTTCAGGGTAGAAGAAAAAATATATAAGAAATCTGCAAGCAAAGAGACCGTGAGAACCGGTAAAAGCAGGTTATTACCAGAACAGTTTGAGAGGCCGCAGTATTTGTATTAGCAATGGGTTGGTTTTATGAAGTATACCACTGAGATGGCCTCAGGTACATGATGTCCATACGAAGTTTCATAAAAATCAGTTCAGGCATTCAAGTAATTTTAAGGTTATTACCAGAACAGTTTGAGAGGCTGCAGTATTTGTATTAGCAATGGGTGGGTTTTATGAAGTATACCACTCAGGTACATGATGTCCATATGAAGTATCATAAAAATCATTTCAGGCATTCAAAAGTTGTGAGAGGTGGTACATATTCACTCACTCGCGCATGCGCGCGTGCACACACACATACACAGAGGGGAGTGATCTCATAAGCCTATTTTTATTTTTTCAAAATAAGGAAAGTAGGCTAATACAGTTACAGCATATAACACCAGCTCACTTCATACTGTGCTGTAGGCTTCCTGCAATATTACAAAACACATATTTTGGATTGACTTTAAATTGTAATAACATGTATTGTGTTACTCTGTTCCTTGAATTTTCTTTACTGTTTTCTAAAGTATTTTCAAAGTACACAAAAGTATTTTCATTTTCCTAAACTCCTTGAGTATTGTGATTGCAGTGGCCATGGCAGTTTACTCATAAAGACTACCAGAGTCATTTTCATGGGATTATCTTCTAAGTTACTTCTTTAGTGACGTAGAATAAAATGAAATGAATAAAATAACAACCAACCAATCTGTGACATCTTGGTGTCATATTTTCATTTGTAAGAACAGTAAACAGGTTGCTCTTGAAAGCATTTTTATAAGTTACCATGTTAGTCTTTTTACTGTGTACAAAAAAAGAGTTTCATACAAAATTTTTAGCCTCTGTCCATTTCCATTTCACTTCCTTAGATACTTCAGTTTATCATATGAGTAAAGGTGAGAAGCAAATATGTCATTTGTGTAGCAGGCATATTGTCATTCTTCCTCTATGATTCACTAAACTTTCAAAGCATATGTATTTTTAAAGATGGAAAGAGAAAATGGCATCAAACTATTACTGTTTGAAGTGTCAGTAGTTGTTATTAATGAGAATTTCATATTAGCACTTACTATGACAAGTCTTGTTGCCTGTGCTATGTATTCCCTTTTTCCTCTCAAATTAATATTTTCTTAGACACTCCACTAACATTGTAAGTTAATAGTATGTGATTTGTTTCATTTTGGTCCGTCACACTAATATTATGAAAAAGTAGTATGTGATTATATTTGAGATTACAAGCACCAATTTGTGAATTACTTTATTAAGGTGCCACTTAGCTGTTTTATATGTTTGTTTGTTACAATGTTACTTTTGCCCCCCCAAGACACCTTTCCATTTGGAGGGAGACTTGAGTGTGTCTCTCACACAAAGTGATGGTGCAAAGGACACAAGGAGGAAGTCCAAGGACCGTGAACGTCGAAGAAGTATTATCCAAGCTGTTTCAGACTTCTTCCATAAGAAGAAAGAGTCCTCTGGAAGTTCATCTCCACCCAAAATAACAATGGGAAGCAGTCATTCTGCTAAAGACAAATTTTCCAGATTCCGATTAAATAAACACAAGGATAAAGGAAAGGTATGTAAATCTACAAGTTCAGTTTTTATGAAAAGTCATAGTATATATGGAGGTTTAAAATCTTTCTTTTATAGGATATGTAAAACAATTAACGGCTTGGGAAATGTATACAAAGCATAACAGTTTTACTGCCTGCTCTCCCTTTTGCTTATTTATCTCAGAAATCACAAGGCATATGTGGAAAATATATTGGGCATAAAATGTGTATGCCATTTCTCTCTTATCACTTTTGTTCAAAACATTTTTCATCTTGATTCATATCCAATGAATTATGCTCAAGATGCACACAGGAACACTTAATATATTCATGTCAGGTGTCATTATGGTTATTCAGTTTAATTAATAAATTGAAATGTCTTGGCAAATTTTTTAAAAACTCTTTCGCATAAAATGTTATGAAAATCTGTTCACTAGTTCTTGAGTTGTTGTGCACAGAGAGATGGACCAAAAGACATGGCGAAGGTATCAGGAACAAGTTTGTAACATTTTGTTGCAGATACACCAGAAATTCTCTTCAGACTACCTAGGTTTATTGATATGTAAGGATTTTATTAAACAGAACAGTATTTGGAAGTGTGAAAATACCTGTGTGTGAACATTACTTCGCATTCCCTCCAAAACTAAAATTGGTGTCTGCAAAGTGTGTCCATTGCAGTCTGTCACCTCAAGCTCATAGTTGCAACCGCCTCTCTGCATCATTATTCACCTTTAAGGAAATACAAAGGATGTTGGTTTAGTCAAGGAAGCTAACCTGTTGAATTCAACATTGCGTGGTGCTAGCATGCATTTTCTGACATTTGTGCACCATATTTAACTGACTCATATTCATTCTCACTTGGAATTAGAATGGGGCATGCTGTAGTGTAGTTGGTTGAGGCACTTTGCTACAAGCTGGAAGGTCGTGGGTTCAAGTCCCGATGAGGTCATTGGATTTTTTTTCAATTGACCTAATCCTTCCAGCCACACTATGGCCCTTGGGTTGACTCAGCCTCTAACAGAAATTAGTACCAGGAATATTCTTGGAATATTCTTGGGGGTAAAGGGCATCTAGTGCGTAGGGCTGACAACCTTGTCACCATCTATGAGCTGCTTGTCTGCAAAATTTGGGAACCTCAGCATCTTACAACCCTATGGTCCTCCACTGCCTGTTACAGGGATACCTTTACTTTACTTGGAATTAGAACACATTTAATTTTTTGTGATACAGCATATCAAGGAACAGTTTTTCAAATTTAATTCTCTGCAACAATTTTATTGTATGTATGATTCCCACAACATTTTGAATAGGTGGAAGAACTACTTCTCTCAGTTATTGAATGTACATAAGGTCAGTGATGTTAGGCAGACAGAAATCCATATGGCTGAGCTGTTAGTATCTGATCCTAGCCCTTTTGAGGTTGAAAGTGCTATTGCAAAATTGAGACAGTGGAAATCGCTAGGTAGTGATCAAATTCCGGCAGAACTTATTCAAGCAGGAGGTGAAATATTACACTCTAAGATCCACAATCTAATTACTTGTTTTGGCATAAGGAAAAATTGCCTGATCAGTGGAAGGAGTCTATTATTGTACCAGTTCACAAGAAGAGTGAGAAAACTGACTGTAGTAACTATCGAGGGATATCACTGCTATCAACTTCACACAAAATTGTGTCCAGTATTCTTCTCTCAAGGTTAAGTCCATACATAGATGATATTATTGGGGATCATCAGTGTGGGTTTCGATGTAACAGATCAACTACGATCAGATCTTTTGCATTCATCAGATATTGGAGAAAAAATGGGAGTACAATGAGACAAGCTATTCATAGACTTCAAGAAAGCCTATTATTGCCACTCCTTTTCAACTTTGCTTTACAATATGTCATTAGGAAGGTCCAGGGAAACCAGGTGGGACTGAAATTAAACGGGACACATCAGCTGTTGGCCTATGCTGATGATCTGAATCTACTGGGTGATAATGTAGATACCATAAAGAAAAACACACAAACTTTAATTGACGCAAGTAAAGAGGTTAGTCTGCAAGCAAACACAGAGAAAACTAAGTGTATTTTGCTGTCTCGTCACCAAAATGCAGGGCAAAATCATGATATAAAGGTAGGAAACAGATGTTTTGAAAATGTGGCACAATTCAGATATTTGGGAACGACGATAACAGATCGAAACCCGATTCAGGAGGAAATTAAGAGGCAATTGAACTCGGGTAATGCTTGCTACCATTCAGTCCAGAATCTTTTGTCTTCTCATCTGCTGTCCCAAAATATAAAAATTAGAATATACAACACTATAATTTTGCCTGTGGTTCTGTATGGGTGTGCAACTTGGTCTCTGACATTAATGGAGGAAGATAGACTGAGGGTGTTTGAGAACAGGGTGTTGAGGAGAATATTTGGACTGAAGAGAGATGAAGTGACAGGAGGTTGGAGAAAACTGCATAATGAGGAGCTTAATAACTTGTACTCTTCTCCAAGTGAAATTAGAATGGTCAAGTCAAGGAGGATGAGGTGTGCAGGGCATTTAGCAAATGGGGGAGACGAGGAATGCGTATAGTATATTGATGGTAAAGCCAGAAGGAAGGAGACCACTGGGAAGACCAAGGCATAGGCAGGTGAACAGTATTAAAATGGATCTTAGAGAGATAGGATGGGATTGTATTGATTGGATTGATCTGGCTCAGGATAGGGACCAGTAGAGGGCTCTTGTGAACACGGTAATGAACCTTCGGGTTCCATAAAATGCTGGGAAATTCTTGAGTAGCTGCGGAAGTGGCGGCTCATCCAGAAGGACTCAGCTCCATGAGTAAGTAAGTAAGTAAGTAAGGACCATGTCTCACATTGTAACAGTTCCATAGTGAATAATACCACTTCTGTGAATGTTACATTGCTTCCATATGTTAATATAAAATCATGATCAGATGTAAGTCATAACTAAGTATTCAGAAAATAGAGAAATCATTATCAGGAAGGTATCAGTGAGGATAGAATGCATAAAATGACATTTTCTAACGCTTGATTCTTGAAACGATTGTCATGTTAATATATATTAATTTTGTACAGTAGAGTCTGATGTAATGCTTCCCAGTCTAAGGGTTTCTTGCATCTTGCATTAGCTTTTTGTAGTCCTGGTTGAAGCTTCATATAAAGGGTGAATAATTTCCCTAAGTTAGTCATACTTGTGTTAGTGCTTTTCCAGCATTTAGTGGACAAAATTCTTTTCCATACATAAAATCTCTGCATCAGTTTACCATTATATTTACTGAAATGTAAGACCAGGTGCCTTCCCTAGTTTGGGTTTGAACTTGAGTGTGAAAATTCATTCACCTTTTTAAATGTTGTAAGTTGTTAGAGGGTTAATGTTTCTGAGATGCAGTAAATATTAACATTGGTGCCATGTTTTGCTGTCAGCCTAGCAGGTGAAAAACAGAGACAAATATGTTCATAGACAGGAGCCTTGAGGTGTGCTGAGTTTCTCCCCACAATCACTGAAGCTGTGAACTTAAAGTGGCAATTCCCCACAAAGAGATATTGCAGCAAATGTGAAAAAGAGAAACTGACTGATATTAACTTTTGTTCACATATTTGCTTATAATAATTGTAGGAAATCTGTACATAAAATCATTATATGTATTATATGCAGACATGTTTCTTAGTGGGGGTGGGGTCATCTAAGTTTCGGTATCATTGTCCTTTCAGGTAAATAAGATATTTACAGTCCATTGTTGTTAATTCATAATCTGGGAAGAAGTTCAATATTGTATTTGTGTGTTGAGAAATATCCACTATACATATGTTAGTATACATTGCATATAGTATTATTTTTATGTAAGGTAAAAGCTGATTGGTTGTCTTCAAATTTTTTTTTCAGTCAGAAAATAATTCATGGTCGGATGACTCAGATGTAAGCGTTTTTTATTTTTATTGATCATAACAGGTAGCATGGAAATGTTTATCACTCACATGACAGTGTATTTTAAATTATATTTGGGTAGTCTCATTGAATTAGTTTGAAGTAACCAAACTGTATTAGTGACAAACTGAGTTTAAGTGCATGACATAGTAAATACATAGAATATATATATATGTATCTTTTAGTACTTTGCTGTAACTAGGCTCACGTATGCAGTTATATTTATAGTGTAGTATGCAGAGTATTATATTTTGTTATTTTCTCTTCATACGCCACATTTGGATGTAGGGAGGTATATTTCACACCGTTTCTCATGCATTTTATGATCCACTGTCACTGTGTTGTAGAATCTGTATTATGTTCCAGCCCTATTGCAGATGTTTTAGACTACACTATTTCAAACTGATCTGGAGGAACAAAATGTTTATAAAACACTAAAACATTATATTTGTTATAAATTTGTTTGCCCCATGTGCCATCCTATTTTTACTTTGACTTACAAGAACTGTGTTACATACATATATGTATGTAACATATATACATTTGAACCTCAGATTATTCACAAATGTGCACAGGCACAGAATATAAAACATGTCAACAAGCCAACAAGACATTGGAAACTTGTACATTCACAAACAAAATCACTAGCATATATAATCCATACTTGTCAAAAAAACACATAAAATTGTTAAAAGGAAATACAGATTGCAGCAAATACACATACAATAGTTAAAAAGCAATACAAATTGCAACAAGTACACATACAATAGTTAAAAAGCAATACAAATTGCAGCAAGAATATATGAGCACAGCCAAGGACATAGAGTTAAATGAAGTGTACACTGTCAGACACCTCTTGACAGGTCTTGACAGAAAAGCAGGAATTCCTCAACAGTATAAGAAGGGTTTTGAAGCAATACATCCTTTAGTTTCTCAATAAACTGTTTTTTATCATGTACCAACTCAATTAAAAAATCAGGCAAACTATTAAAAACTTTTACACTCATACAATAGACCCCTTTTTGCCTCTTTGTTAGATGCGATTGAGGAACATGAAGGTTTCTAACTTGTCTTGTTGATTTACCATGAATTGTATGATTAAAAGTATAATGCCCCAGATTGTTTACCATTAGTATCATTAAAGATAAAATATATTGAGAAGCCAATGTCAAAATTTTTAATTTTTTAAAAACTGTTCTACATGATTCTCTGGGTTTCATTCCCAACATTATCCTGATGGCCCTTTTTTGTAAAAGAAAAATCTTCTTAGCCTCCCACGAGTTTCCCCAAAATACTATCCCATATCTCATAATTGAATGAAAGTATGCATGGTAAATCATCTTTAGTGTTTCAATATTGCTATACAATTTCATGTTTCTTATTGCAAAGCATGCCTTGCCCAATCTGGACAGCATCGATTCAATCTGTGACTTCCAATTCAGGGTCTTATCAATTTCAATGCCCAAGAATTTAACGTGGGTTTCCTGATGCAATATCTCATCATTAAACTTTAAATGTATAGACATATTATCTCGATTAGTTGTATCAAATTTTACCACTTTAGTTTTCTTCAGATTTAGAGACAGGCCATTAACTGCAAACCAACGGCTTAAAGAATTCAACACTAAGTTAGACCTTACTTGGATTTCATCAATATCAATACCAGACACTACTATGCTTGTATCGTCTGCATACAACAATAACCTATCATCAGTATTTAATGCTGATGACAGGTCATTGATATATAAAAGAAACAGCAAGGGACCCAAAATCGAGCCCTGCGGCACTCCATATTCAACAATCTCCCATCCTGAACAACATTTTTCATTCCCATTAGTATACAATTCCACTCTTTGCCTTCTATTTCCCAAATATGATTTCAACCATCTTAAAGTTTTACCACCAAGTCCATATACAGCCAACTTGCTCAAAAGGATATCATGCACCACACAATCAAATGCCTTTGTCAAATCACAGAATATTCCTAATGAAAGACAGCGTCGTTCCAAAGTTTCTAATATATGATTAGTTAAGGCATAGATTGCAGATTCTGTACTTCTATTTTCTCTAAATCCAAACTGAGCAGATGAAATTAGATTATTTGTATGTAGGTGCTGCTTTATCCTATTATACATCGCTTTTTCAAATATCTTGGAGAAGATTATTAACAGTGATATTGGTCTATAATTTGCCATAACGACCTTCTCACCTGTTTTGTGTAAAGGTCTTACTGACGCAAATTTCATTCTATCGGGAAAAATTCCACGTTCAAGTGATGCATTAAGTATATGTCCAAGTGGTTTACTTATTTGATTAATGCTATATTTTAATATTCTGCTAGAAATACCGTCATAGCCTGTAGAATTTTTCGATTTTAGTGTCTTAAGTATATTCTTTATTTCCACCTCAGTTACGGGTATTAATTTCAGTTCAGGTAAGTTATCATACTTAAGGTTATTTAATAATTTAATTGCCTCACTTTTATCAGCATTTTTTGTTGCCAAATTCTTAGTTACAGTTATAAAATGTTTATTAAATATTCTCACTAATTCCTTAGGATCCGTTACTCTACTTTCTCCCACTTGCAATTCTGTTACTTTATCTGAGACCTGGTTTTTTCCGGATTCTTTATTAATAATCTTCCAAGTTACTTGTATTTTATTTTCTGAATTAATTATTAATTTTTGATAATACAGTCTCTTTGCTTCTCTTATTACTCTTACTAGTATCTTACAATATCTTTTATAATATAACTTCAAACTATCATCACTTGATTTTTTAACTAAGATGTATAATGCTCTCTTATGCTTACAAGATATTCTTATGCCTTTCGTTATCCAATTATTAGAGTCTTTCTTTTTTTATATACTATGGGAAAGTTATTTTCAAAGATTGATAAAAAAATGTTGTGAAAGATATTAAATTTCATATTTACATTCTCTTGATTATAAACTTCTATCCAATTTTCATTCTGTAAAGCCCGTTGAAAACGTATTATGTTTTCCTCATTAATGTCTCTATATGCTCTAACATGATCACTTTGCCTTATCACGCTTTTCACAGTTGGAATATCTGAAGATGGATTAAAGACTTCATGGATGAAGCTGCCTGAACAGCAGTTATTTCAGTTGTTAGTCTGTGTGTCTAGGGGATTAAGAATTGTGTAAGCACTTTCTTTTGCATCAGAAGCTTTGTCAGGAAGACAGAGGAGAACTCAGTCCGATGTTTCATAACCTCCTTATAAAATTTCTATGATGCGATGTTGTGAACACATCTACAAATATTATATGAAATATTTGTTTTGGTGTACTGAAGTATGGTGATTGTAAAACTTATAAAAGTTCAGGGAAAACAAATCGAGGCAAGCCTTCATCATCATGGATAGTCTCTGTGCATAGAGGAGATATATTTGCTAAACTGAATGGGACACATCAGCCTCTGATCTATGGTTGTGATTTAAATGTATTGGGGGATGACAGAAATACCATAAAGTAAAACATGGGTGCTAGTAAAGAGGTTGGTCTAGGAGTAAACACAGAGAAACCTAAGTATATGTTAATGTCAAAGAATTCAAGACAGTCGTAACATAAAGACAGCTAACAGATCCTTTGAAAATATGCCAAAGCTCAAAGATCTTGGAATGACAGTAATAGATCAGAATTTGGTTCATGAGAAAATTGAGAATAGATTAAATGTGGGTAAGACTTGTTACCATTCAGTTAAGGACCTTTTGCCAGTAGTTTTGCAATGGTGTGAAACCTGGTCTTTGGCATTAAGGGGTGAACATAGACTGAGGATATTTGAGAACAGGGTGCTGGGAAGAATATATTGACTGAAGAGGTTAGAAATAATATGGGGCTGGAGCTTCATGACTTGTACTCTTCACCAAATATAATTAGAATGATCAAATGAAGGATGAAGAAATGGGCATGCATGAGAGAGAAGAGGAATGCATACAGGGTTTTGCTGGGAAGTCTAGAAGTAAAGACGACCTAGATATAGGTTGTAGGATAATATTAAAATGGATCTTAGAGAAATATGGACTAGATTTAGCTGATTCAGCACATGGACCAGCTGTGGGCTCTTGTGAACATAGTTTTGAACCTTACAGTGCCATAAAATGTTGGGAAATACTTGAGTAGCTAAGCGACTGTTTGACTACTCAAGAAAGTCATGGCTTCATTGATAATTAACACTGAAGTATTCCTTGACTGATACACAACCCGCATGCAATTTGTATGCACTTTTCAGTGAACTAACAGCCCATTTTGAATGTACCTGTCCTCAATTCAAACATTTTTGTTTTATGTGAAAGATCACAAAATAAGTGATCTTTCTTACATTCATAAACCCATGATGGGTGTGTATAGCACTGCTTTACTGTATGAGCCCTTCAGGTTAACATATACAGCACCTACTGTGACAGGCTAGGACTTGTAGATAAGTAATTCCAGACATTTATATTGTTAGCAAGTTCAGCCCTGTTATATTTTGATCATTTTTTGTTTTTCATGGCTTTGTTCTTTATTATTGAATTATGTTCTGCCCTTATAATGTTCCAAGTGGTTTTGGGAACGTTATTAGAGTTGGTAATTTTGTCCTCATTGTTAAGTCTTTTTGCCTCATTTATTACCTTAGTTAAAATCTTGCAGTATGATTTATAATACTGCTTTAGATTTTTATTGTCAAGAAATTTTGCCAAAAGATATAATTCTCTTTTCCTTCTGCAGGAAGTTTTTATTCCTGTGGTTAACCATTGTTTGGAGGAAAAATGTTCGTAAATTTTCTTTTTGGGAAAACAAGCATTAAAAATCTGCAGATATACATCTACAAAATTATTAAACATACTATCTATATTATTGTTCTCAGCATTAAAAACGGTTTCCCAAGTTTCAGAACTTAAACTTAGTTTGAAATCATCTAGCGAACAGTTGTTAAATGTCCGGATAATTTTGAAATTAAGGTTTTTCCTTTCCTTACTGATCTCTTTTTGATGTACAAACAATAGTTGCCCGTCATGGTCAGATAGACCAATAAATACTGCAGAGATCAAATGTTTTCAAACTTAGTTATATCTATAGAGAGATTATCAATCAATGTTTGAGTTGTGGTGCAAGTCCTGGTTGGAAAGTAAACCACGCTACTTAAGTTAAAAGACTGCAGTATGTAATTTAATTGTTGCTTCGTTTTATTATCTTCTAGCTAATTTATATTAAAGTCACCACAGACTATCATTAATAAATTCCGTTTATAAATTTTGTTGATGACAGCTTCTAACTGGGTAATGAATAATGAAAAATTACTAGACGGGGACCTATATGTGGCTAGAATACAGAATGTACTAGATAAAAATTTACATTTAACAGCGCACACCTCCATGGCTTTGTCTATACATAGTTCATTAATACTGACAGGTTTGTAATCCAGAGAATTGTGTAAATATATACATACACCTCCCTTAATAAAAGACTTTCTACAATAACTAGTTCCTAAGTTGTAATTGGCTATGGTCACATTTTCAATTTGTGAATAATTTAGATGATGTTCTGTGAAACAAAGCACTTGCAGAAGTTCAGGTTATAGATGGGCATAAATTTCACTAGTCTTATTTGCAAGGCCACAGATGTTTTGGTGATAAATTGAGAAGCCATTTTTCTTTCAGTATGGTTGTTACACTGTTTTTCTTCTACCATAAAAAATCATCATATCTATCTAGTGGAAATAGTACAGTATCTTAAATTATGCCTTGACCACTTCCTTCCATGTCTGCAGCATTTCACTAATCATCTTACTGTTCTCATCTGAGCTGCTAACAACATTATCAAATAAACCACGAATGAGTAAATAATTTTAGGCTAGGTCAGATATGTGTACCAAGTAACTGCTGTAGCCACAGGTAAGGAGTGGACAACTAATTTTTATCATTGGTATTGTCAGTTTAATCATTTTGTCACAGTCACTCCATAGATATAACCAGAATTTGATTCATGAATGTTTTGAGAGAAAGGGCTGGTGTGATTCTGTATAGTCTATATAAAATATCATACCCTTAGTTCAAGTTCATATGTAATTTATTAATTGCATGTTATTGCAGATGTTATGTAGAGTCTAATGAGATCATGGTATGTGGCACGGGATGTGGAAGCAGGTGAAGATGCCCTGTGTGATAGTACTGCCTTAACATCCACATGCAGGGACCAAGGAAAATGATACAGAAATTTAAATTAAGGGGGGACAGTTACCTGGCCAAAATTAGTATTGTATACTTCCCAAAATGAGTCCCAAATGTTACTGAGCTAAACCTGTCCAGGTTTTACTTAATATGTATTAGAATGAATTCTGTAAAGTGCGCAGATTTATCACATGCTGTAAACTCTGAAAAGAATTAAATTTTTAGAATATTAGAGATGATCAACATTGTAGAGTGATTATACATAACCAAGCTGCGCCATCATGCTTCTTGTATATGGTTTAGCATTCAGTTTCAGTTTCCTGTGATATAAATATTCCTTCTAAATGCTATGTTAAAATTCTTGAACTGGAGGAGTTCAGAGGTAATGTGTGTTCTACGTAGTTTTTGGAAAGCATGTGTATACGTACATTGTTTATCACCCTTTGCTATTATATTCACTTGATTATATGTTAATTTACATTGATGTCACTGGTCTCTTATATTTTATTTAGAGAAGGTCCCTGATTAAAGTAAAATCATCAAAGGCACTTCACTTGCTCAAGTTTTTATGGAAATATTCATGCATACATACAAACAGCTAGGTTGATGAAGCAACACTTTCACATTTGTGTTTTATAATGTACCAGAGCTAAGAAAAGATCAGTGAATGTATGAAGTACCCTTGCTCACTGCAGATATCCGTATTACCAGAAACATTGCCTTTACCTTCATAGATCTCATTTGTAATCTGAAGGCATGCATTAGAATGTACACCATCACAAGTGATACTTACGTTCATGTTACCTGTATAACAGGAGAAAGCCCCACTGATGCCAGTTGATGTGCGGTCTAAGAGTGTTGGTGAGGAGCGCAGTAACAATTGTTTGGGTTTCATCTCCACCAGTGATACAGCTGCACCACCCATTCCACCACCACCAGTTAACTATCAGGGTGGGCCTTTTCCAAGAGTTTCAGGTTTGTTGTATGTTTTGTCCATAAGTTGATGTGCATGGCTTTATAGGTGACAAGTTTGCCTTCTGTTAGAAGCATACGGATGTGGAAGCAATGCACACTTCATTAATTACAGACTTTGTGTTCGTGTTAAGGTTATTTTTAGCTTATAGCTTTTGGTAGTTACAGTTATAGCACTGTGCTTCATAGTGTTTCATTTATCTATCATGTGTGATTGATCCTCCTGATCTTAGGCTGTACTGTATGATACCATAAATGGTTGCACTGATCTCTTTACACTTTAACTGTACACTTCAGGGATAATTAATGGATTAATTGATGTTTGACAGATTGATTAATTAAGGTAATTGGACACCAATGAGCAGATTGCTTAGAAGTTGAATGCGGGTTGGGTTACTGAAGGTGAAAATTAGACACCTAGCTGATTTGAAGAACATGAGAGACTTTTCAGGTCTGTTAATTGTCAGAACTTTGATGTCACAGAGATGAAATCAATTAAATAATTGACCACTTGTAGTTAATGAACTTGTGTATATTCTACTACTGTTCTCAGTCAGAAACACGGTTGTATTTAGCGACATAGACACACAGTTGGATAATTCAAAGTTATAAACTTATGGATTGAACTTTGCTAACTTCATAAATACAGATATTAGACTTTGTTAAATTTTTGGTTTCTAAGTGTCCAGAAATTATATAATGTTCCAAACAGATTTTATTCAGACTTGGAAAAATTCACAGAATTTAGAATGCAGATTTCGTGCAGCAGTGCATCTGCACAGTATCAAGATTTGACACAAGGTCCTTTCCATTTCTGAGATGGCTTGTATCCTCTCATGGCATAACTTCCAAAATTCAAATTTATTACATCAGTAATTGGAAGTTTTAAATGAAGTAACTGTTGTGTAATTTGGCATAGCTGTGATTGTCTCCTGACAGGCCTGTCAAAAAATCACAGCTGCTGGCAGGCCTAACCAAAAAATCACACATGGTTCCCATTCAATTTGATAGGTATGGCAGTTCATATCCACCCAGAAAATGAGTACCGTAACTTGGGGTGACTTTACTCCGTGGGGGTTAATGTTGCTCCAAACAGGATGAAAGTTGTGAAAGAAAGTACAGAGGTTTGAAGGTATTTTTTTTAATTGGTTGGCAATGGTGGAAGTGACTTGTGTGATTTTGGCGGTCTTTTAAACCTTCATTATGGTTATCTTATGGCTTCAGTATGGTCCTCTGGTCAGAGCTGATTTGAAGCCACACTTAATTTGGTTATACTACTCTGTCCGAAAAGTATCAAACCTTGGGCTGGGAAAACAAAGTTCTGTATCTGGATTGTTACAATACCTAATCCCCTTCAAAGTAGACCCCTTGTGACTCCACGCACTTAGCCCAGCAGTCCTTCCATCGCTGGAAGCAATTCTGGAAGGCTTCTTTTGGAAGGCTTCTTTTGGAATGGTGTGCAGCTGTGCCATCGCATTCTGTATGATGTCCTCGCAGCTGTTGAAACGGGAGCCTTTTAGCGGTGTCTTCAATCTCAGGAACAGCCAGAAATCACAAGGAGCCATGTCAGGAGAGTAGGGAGCCTGGCAAACCTACAGAATGCCGTGCTTGGCCAGGAAACCCTGGATCAGGTGTGATGAATGAGCTGGGACATTGTGATGATGCAGCTGCCAGTTGCGTGCGTCCCACACCTCCGGTCTCTTGCGCTGAACTGCATCACGAAAATGGCGGAGGACTTCTTGGTAGTACTCCTTATTGATAGTCTGGCCTAGTGGTGTGTACTCATGTTGCACAGCACCCCGGCAATCGAAATAACAGTATCACCTTCACATTGCTCTGAACCTGTCGTGCTTTTTTGGGCCTCGGGGAAGTTGGATGCTTCCATTGTGACGCCTGGACCTTGGTTTCCGGGTCATATCCATACACCCATGACTCGTCACCAGTGATCACAGTCTTCAGGAACTCAGGATCCCTGTTGGTGCACTCCACTGTGTCCTGCGCGACCTCAAGGCAGAGTTGTTGCTCCAGCAAAAGCAGCTTGGGCATGCCCAAATCCTCAGTTAAAATTGCATTTGCAGAATCTCTGCAGCTCGTTGACGGTCTCCTGGAACGCAGGTCACTGTCTGCCAACATATGGTCATCTTTAAAGCGGTTGAACCACTCTTTAATTTGAGTGACCCACATTGCATCATCCCCAAAAGCCTGCTGAATTTTGTGAATTGTTTCTGCTTGGGTATCCCCAAGTTTCTGACAAAACTTAATGCAGTATCGCTGCTCTAAGCGTTCTGTCATCTTGAGCGAAACAAGAATGCGATGAACATGTGTTACACCATTTCACCGTCTGGCAGCCACAGATGCATCTGGCGGTGTTGCGAGGCAGCAAGAAATCACGCATGCACATGAAAGTCCCCTCTCCACTGCGCTCAGTGTCTCCACCCTTTGGCCATTATTTACAGTGACAGTAAATAAAGTCGGATACTTTTTGGACAGCAGTGTATCTTGTAGCTTCAAGCACTTTTCCAAGATAAATGTGTGCTCAGTTTGTCAATAAACATCTAAAAAAGTGATTTATGTAGATTTCTTTTTGTTTTCAGCTGTATTGTTAATAGTTAAGTATATTTTATTGAGGTAGGTTTTTTCCAAAAAGAAGGGAAACTTTGCACTACAACAAAAGTGGCTCAGAATATTCCCTTTTACATATAATATGAGCTAAACATCATTTTTTTTTTGCCCCTATTGTCATTATTGTTTTTATTTTTCTTAAATTTATGTTCAGCTGCCATTAGAAGTGGGCAGTTTACCCAATGAAGAGCTGCTGTTGAATTCAATATTCCTAGGAGGGCAATCATAAATAAACTCAAGTGAAAGGATGTAAATAAATGTGGGCAACCTCCTGTATTTTCAAGTGAAGAAGAAAAAACATTGTAAGATGCATCATGAGGTGAAGCAAGTATGGTTTTCCTTGGAACCAGCTTGATTTAAGGATGATAATTAAAGATTACTTGAATTTGATTTGTTTCATTCTGGTCCGTCACACTGATATTATGAAAAGCTAAATAGCTCCGTTCAGTGTGACTGGTTAAGATTTTCTTATTTCAATGATTTATTATTGTTGTGTAAACACAGCGGGCCACAAACACATACAGGACCACATTAAAGAACCCTCTTCTCGAGAACGACAAGGTGGCACACGTTCAGCCCAAGTCAAAATGAAGAATAAGAGGGACGACATGAACAGGCTTGGTTTACGAGTTCCAAATAGAATTTTAACAAACTAACTATAAATATTTTAATGTATTGGAACAGCCGCTGTAGTTGCAAAAACTTTAGATTTTACAGCAAATTGTATATTATTTGTATTGTATGTATGTATTTTAACTTCTAGAACATGTACTGTAATAGTGGCTTCCAACTGTATTGATGTAAAGGTGTCCCTCTGAAGATGGTCGCTGAAGACCAAAACATGTAAGGGCGTGAATAATTGGAAAAGAAAATCTTAACCAGTCACACTGAATAGAACTATTTAACTTTTTCAAATAATTACGTGAATCAGATGAGATGAGCTGTAGTCAGATTTAAAAATAAAATACCTGTCCATATCTGGATGATAGGTTTCTTGAAAAGGTATCCTGCTCTATCAGTATGCTTTGCCCATGATATAAAGAGGAGTAGAGCTTCCATGACTAGTGAAACTTTGAGAGAATGTATTTTATTTCTGGCAAAGGAGTTGGAAGGTGTTAATCCTGCCAACATACGGAACTTTCAACGAAACTAGTCTTAGTGATGATCCCAGTAAGAAGAAAATGTTGATTGGACACGGAGTTAAGTATCTTAAAAATGTACAAAACTTGTCCAAGACGAATGTGTCACTTATGTTTGCAGGAAGTGCAGCAAGAAAAATTCTACTTATGTTTCTTACAACTCAGGTTGTATGTGGACAACTTTGAAAGAGAATGGTCTACCTGGGTGCCATTATAACCACAGTACAAGTGGTTGTTTTGTTGTGGCAGGATTGTCTGGCTGATTTGAAACATTCATGCAGCCTACACTAAATAAATAAACTGGTAAAAAGTGATCATCTCTTCATATTTCTCTGCATATCCTAGAGCTTTGTGAGCAAAACAACATCGTGCTCATTTATTTGCCTCCACACCACATATGTGACCCAGCCCCTCAATGTCAGCATGTTTTGGTCTGTGAAAGTTGAATGGAGGAAAATTCTTGGAGAGTGGAAGGACAATATAAAGCACAGTTCCAGATCAAATAAGCAAGATTTCCCAGTACCACTAACAAACTAATGGAAAGGATCTAACCAAAAATAAAAGAGAATCTAGTTTCTCGTTTGCCTGCCTGTGGGATCTACGTAGTGAATGTTGAAGAACCAGTGAAGTAAATTCCCCAAAAATTATGCAGCATGAATGCCATGCAGTTGTTAGAGAAAAAGAGCAGAATGGATTGAAATTAAAATTGCTGAGTGAAAGAGGACATTAAGTGTTCCTGCTGGGATGAGTGTCACTGGTTTTGGTGTGATAAGCACAGCACCCTCGATATCTACTAGTCCGAGAAAGAGAAGTAAGAGGACAAAGTCAAAAGAATCCTCATCTGAAAGTGAAATTGACAATAATGTAATTATTGTGGATTCCTTAAATGAAGATTTGGATAAAATGATTTACCAGGAAGCAAAGGAAGCTGAGAAACATCTTCAAGAAGACTGACTACTCTGTGAAGTAAGTCAGGGAATTCCCCTGTACAAATGCCTATTTCTAATCCAGTGATTAAGGCTTGAGGTTAGTTTGTGGTGTTCTTCTATGAAATGTTTACGTTTTCACCATGGTGAAAAGTGTGAAATCGTGGAAATAGCCAGAGAAGCCAGATATTCTTGAATATGAATGGAGTATCATGCTTGGAGGCATTAATCCTCTGAAACTCATGTCAGAATGACAATTTCATTCCATTCTAGAGCTTTCAACTTTTTTTTTAAATTCAGACTGTCAGTAAGTGGGTTAAAGTGTTCTTTATAAATTATATGTTCTTGTTATAATACTGTCAGTATAATATTCATCAGTGGTTATGGTCTTTTGCATTTCTCATTTTGTTTGTTATGATAAAAGTCCTTAAAATAGAAAATATTTTTTGAGCAGTTCAGTTGTTCATATTTTACCCTTTAGAAGAGGATACATAGCACCAAGATGACTTTCCCTTGCTGGTCTTATGGAATCTCTTCTATGGTGCAAAGTATCCTAAACCGCTGAGAAATATTGCTTCAAAGTTTAACAGTAAATATGTAACATACATGAAATGAAATCAAACCAAATCAACTGTGGGTGATTCCTTTAGCAATGGACTTAGAGACAAAAAATGTGTGCTTTTCAGTGAACAGTAGTAAAAAACAGCTGAAAAAATGAAACTTAGAAAACTGGAGCAAAGTCAATCCAGGTTATGGTACTAATAAATGTCTGCCACCCAGACATTGAGGTAGCTTTCAGAATGCAGACATTTCCACAAAACACTGCATTGCATGCATAAGACATTGCAATATAACATAATATCTAAAATCAAGGCTAAGTTAGCATTCAAATGTATAGGCCAAATGTACATAAATTGAAAATAAAATAAATGTTACTAAATTTCTAATAATTAGATCAATCAGATTAATTACGCACATAGTTAGTAGTGCCTGGATAACTCAGCAGTACAGGATCTTAGAAAGCATGTGTTATCATATTGTGAATATTATAGTATAAGGCCCATTTAGAAACCATATCATCATTACAAATTCCTTGCACTTGTAAGGTTTAAAGAGAAATCAGTTTGTTGTAATCGTTCTGGTCTTGAGATAATATACGGTACTGAGCACCTTTGATTCCTGTAGAAGACAGTTATTCAGAGCCAGAAGAAGACTCACGAGCCACAGTTCTCTCTACTCCTACGCATGACACAGCATCTGTAGATGGAGTTACAGACAGCCTTAACAGGCGACATTCAAGGATGAATCAGCGCATGGCTCGGCAAGCTCAGCTCAAAAGGTAATCTTCGTTCCATATTATTCATATCATGTGCAAATCATACACTTGATTTTGGTTGTACAATTGAATTATTATTTATGTAGTGTGACCATATTCATACTTAGGTATAAATTACTAAATCGGCTAGATAGTCTTATATCAGAGACTAAATCAGCGGCTGGTGTGTGAAGCTTACCGTTCATCTCTGTCTAGTGCTGAGGTCAAGAATACATGGATCTATACATCCACTCCCCAATACATCTTCATGGCATAGTGCTTAGTTAATTAAGTACAGGGGCAACTTTACCTTTCATTTTTATCTCATTCTACTTCCCTGGACATTTGCCCAAGAGAGCTGTGAGGTATAAATTAAGAGATGATATTTGCAGATAGCAAGTCAGACTTTAACCTTTCATTTTTGTTATGTGTTCTTGGTTGATTCATGGATTAGTGAAACAGACATAACTGTTAGGACCAATTTTGGAATTTTATTATTTTAATTGTGAACAGGAGATAGGGAAAACATACGATTTAAGGAAAGTTTGGTACACTTATTTCAGAAACTTCCACTCTTTGTGAATGTTTAACATTGATTTATTGTTTTATGTTTAATTCTTTTTGTGTAGGTAATAAATGGATTAGTAATAAACTTGATTATTGACATATTTCTTGTGAATCAGCTGTTAAGTTTTCCAAGGGGCCAGGTTTTGTAGCCATTGTTTAGAAAGTATGTTAGATTTGTAATTCAGGATTCATACAATACACTCATGTTAACTAATGAATAACTTACCAAATTACTGATAAATATTTCTTGTTGGATCATTATTACTGCTTTAGGAGTGATGATCCCAAGTTGTAAGTGTACTTAGAGTTCTCTATAAAAACAGTGAGATTCAATACTGCTATATAGGTAGTAGTTTGTCTTTGAGTTACTGAAACTTTGTTAAATAAACTGCAAACAAATACATTTGTTGTTGATAGGCGTTTGTTTGTGATGTGATATCATTTTAAATGCTTTATTAATTGTACTTTTGTCACATGTTAAGTCTTATGCTTTGATTTGTAACATATTATTGTATTATTAATAACATCTGATATATGTGTGGGTGTCAAAGAAATACTATACTGATTGACATCATTTCCCCAGAGGTCACTGGTTTTGTACTGATCAGTGGCAGCTGTTTGGTATTTTCTGTTGTTACATTCTTTTTTATAAACACAGATTGCGAATGGCTCAAGAAATTCAGCGTCAGCTGGAGGAGTTGGAAGTCAAACAGAGAGAACTGGAAGAGCGAGGCGTGAGTGTTGAGAAAGAACTGAGAGGAGAAGGCATGGGTAAATATATTTTCTTGTAACGCTATACGTCAAGAAGCTGATAAAGATAGTTTTGCAATAGACAACCAAGTTCTAAACTTGTATATGCCATAGAGATTTGACTGTTTTGCTGTTGACTTAAATTTTTTTTTAAATTTTCATTGTAGAGGATATCACATTGAATTTGCTGCTCACCCGCTATTTAAATCATCAAACAGATCTTTGAATGAGTAGGATTTCTTTTTGAGAGTGTAAGATTTTGATATTTTGTCAAATATCTCGACCGCCTTTGTGGTCTAGTGGTCAGAGTTCCTGGCTATAGATCTGGAGATCCGTGGTTCGATTCCCGGTTCTACCAGATTTTCTGAGAAATAGTGGGTCTGGAACGGGGTCCACTCAGCCTCGTGAGGATAATTGGGGCGCTATTTCAAGGAAATAAAGACTCCGTTCTAGTAAACTGAAATTAACAGCCGTGGGGATTTTTTGCACTGACCACACAACACCCTCTATCCGCTAAAGTTGGCACTAACTTCGCTGACAAGCAGTGGTCACTAGCTTGTTATAGCTCACTTGCAGCCTAAAACCACACAGTTTGTTCTTTTTGTGCAATATCTCATATTGCCACTGCTTGCAGTTTGCTGAAAATGAACTGGAGATTGACAGCTCAGATTCAGAATTATTTTGAGATGTTTGTAATGTGCCTTCTAGTAAACTGTTTGAAATTTCACAAACTTGCTTCCGAATACAGTATACTTACCATTACCTAGCAGGTATTGGGAATGGGGTGGACCAGTTACACAAAAAAGAAGTCCAGTACATAGACAAAATAAAAAATAGTACAGTCATGCTTCAGTTCATATGTGGGAATCATCCTAGGGGTCATAACAGATTGACAGCTGAAAGATTTTGGATACATACATTGCAGTTCGCTCACAGATCCAACTATTCCTTGCTGTAATGACACATGTATATGGGAGGATGATGGATAGTGCTGCTAGTGGCATCTGAGTGAACGTATGAACATCAGAAATTTATTTTTGAGCAACTATGACATTTGTAAATATCCTTTGAAGTTTTATCCTGTTAGATGTTTGGATACTGGATAAGAGGGGGTTTACTGTATATAAAATATGAAGATTGCTACATAACTTAAAACCGTAAAAAGAACCACCTACAAAACCTAATTTCATTGCTTCTGAGTTGTTATGAAGTCAATGTCTGTTATTTTTGTCCAGGATTATGAGGTAACAGATTCGAAAATATGTGAAGAGTTTACATTTTTCATGTGAAAAATGATGATTAGGGCACTGTAGTTTTTTCCAAAAGAATGGGTATTACATTGTTCTACCAAACATGTCATTTGTAGAAATCTGCTTATTCAAGTAAGTGATGTAACCAAAAATTAATCAAGAGGCACGCTGAGATTATTTTCCATGGAATATGTTCAGTGATAAAATAAAATTAACTTCTTTATTAGATGGTAAAATGTTAGTAAATATAATTCAGTGCCATGAATACTAACCTATAGTTCATCAGTTTTCATGGTGTGTGATGTTATGTTTGTAGAGATTTTTGTAGTGATGTTAGAGAATATAAACAACAATGTGCGAATATTCTCATTATTTACATATGTTGATTTGAAATGTAGTTACTTAAGCTATAGAATTGAATCACTAATTTTATCACATGCTTCTCTAGATGCTGAGTGTAAAGAAGAGTCAGAACTCTTGAGAGAGTGGTTTTTTTTGGTGCGGGAACGCACCGAGTTACGGCACTATGAGCGAGAATTGATGGTTAGAGCTCAAGAAATGGAGTTAGAAGACCGACATGCCCGGCTTCGGCAGGAACTTGAAGGCAGGATGAGCATAGATGGTGAGAATTAATACTTATCTGTTAGTGGTTGGTCCGTGTATGTTTATACATTTGGCTGGTAATAGTTGTAACCAATAAAGTTCCTGGTTAAGGGCCATTCATAGAAAAAGGCAAATATGTTTATCTATGATGGTTGAGGGAGGTAAATGTGTTCTTGGACATGGCCCTGTGTTGGAGATGCTCTCACATACATGTGGGAAGTAATTAGAAAAACTTTGGTCCCTGTTTAACTAGTAGATTATTTCCGATTTTATCTAGATTAACTTCACTTTATTATTCACATATTTTCATGTCTGCTTGCATATATTTGTGTTGAAGTCTTTGTTGCATTAAAAATCACCTCATTCTCACAAAGGGGCAATAGAACTGAAATGGTTGAGTGTGTTAGTTATTTGCCTATGGACATCATTGCCCTCCTCACTTGATACATAAACTCACCACTGGTCTGGGAAGTTATAATTTTGTAAAGGATGGAGGAACAGTCAGAAAGTATGAAAGCCAACTACTATGGTATTTTGAACAGTAAAGATTTTTTTGTTTTTGTGATGGATATAAGTGAACTACGAGTGTCAACATAATGGCCCATTTCTTAAAACACGTGTACCAGCTCAGTGTAGGCATGTCATTCATAGTGAAGAATGCAGTCCAACAGATAAAGAGAATATACGTGATGCAATCCAAAAGTTCCCGAAATATATTAATAAAAACTATTACATCTTACCTAGATCTTATTCTGCACCATCACCTTCAAAGTAGTCCCCTTGGGAGTGCATACACCGATCCCAGCGTTTCTGCCACTTTTCAAATGCATCCTGGAGGTCTTTCTTTGTTAGGGTGTTTAGTACCATCTGCGATTCTGCTTGAATTTCCTCAACTGTATCAAATCTTCGCCCCTTCAACTTTATTTTCATCTTGGGGAAGAGAAAGAAGTCGCATGGAGCTAAGTCTGGCGAGTACGGTGGGTGGGGAACATCTGCCATGTTGTTTTTAGCCAAAAATTCCTGCACAATATAAGCCGTATGTGGTCATGCGTTGTCATGGTGGAGTACCCAGTCATTCGTGCGCCACTTCTCTGGACGTTTTCTCCTCATGTTCTCCCTCAAACACCTTAGAACATCGCGATAGAACTCTTTATTGACTGTCTGACCAGGAGGGACGAACTCCTTATGAACAATCCCGTCAGTATCAAAAAAACAGATCAACATGGCTTTTTTGGCCGAGGTGAAGATGGGCTCTTCCATTGCGACGATTACTGCTTGCTTTCAGGGTCGTAGCCATGAACCCAACTTTCGTCACGAGTGACAATCTTCAAAAGAAAGTTTGGATCCTCTTGAAGTGTTGTTGAAGTTCCCTGCAGACTTCCAAGCAATGCTTCTCCTCTTCATTTTTCCACAGTCGTGGCACAACTTCGCCGCAATCCTCCTCATGTTCAGTTCCTCTGACAAAATTCGTTTGACATGTACCATAACTTAGTCCCAAGGTGTTACAGAGGTCTTGGATGGTCAGTCTACGATCTTGCAGAATCAGCTCCCTAACTTTCGCGACATTTTCTGGTCTTTTGCCCGTTGATGGCCGTCCAAAACGATCGTCATCATCAGTCAATGTTCGGCCATTTTTAAAATGCTTATACCAGTTGTAAGTTTGTGTCTGGCCTAAACTGTTTTCACCAAAAACTTGCTTCAACATTTGGTGCGTTTCTGCAGTGGTTTTCCCAAGTTTGAAACAAAACTTTATACAGACACGCTGCTCTCTGAGGTCAGCCATCGCAAAACTGCAAACTCACGGAAACACAACAATGGAAATACGTTCACCAACAATAAACCCAACCACTCAACTCAACGCTGCTTGCCACACTGATTCAAGAAGGATGTGTGAGGAGACACCTAGCAGTATTTCGATGTACTCTTAACCATTCGCGAGCAAAATTCAAATTTCGGAAACTTTTGGATTGCCCCGCGTATATTGTGACATGACACCTGAAGGCTGGAATAGTGGAGTCAGAGGAAACGTCCACAGCTAGGCAACTGCTCGGTAAACAGGTTTCCATGGCACTGGATATGCAAGTAACAATAGAGAAATTGTTGCAACATGGTTATAAAGAAGAATTCACTTGAGAATTGGCAGACGAGTTCTGGGACTCCAAGTGAGCAGTTAGTCGAGAGTTGAGAAGATGGCACTGTGAGTTCAGTTGGCAGTCAGGCTGTGAAGAGAAGACTATGTGTGATGTAATTCAGTGAGACTTTTATATTCTTTGTCAGGAAACAGACAGTGGAGACTGTAATATACTTAAGGACACTAGTATATGTAACAGTGAACTGTAAAGTGCGGAAATAGCAATAGTGTTATAGTTGTTTGTAGTATGACATGTAAGTGGTCAATAAATCCAGTAATCCAGAACCCCATCTATAGTCACATACCCCTAAAAATTGATATTATGTTTTTCTTTATCTGTAGATAGCTTAACTACCATCTCATATTTCTCAGGATGAAAACAGCTGCTCATAGCCTAATCAGTGTACTGACTGAACCATATTGTCTTTTGAAAAGTGAAGAGAATCAAGTTTTCAGGCATTTCTATTTATAGATTATGAGAAGATGTGCAATAGTCTAAAATGGTAAAAGTTATGGAACATGGTCACAAAAGAAAATGTGCCATAGGTCTGATGAAAGTAGTACTAAGTTTGTATTAAAATTTGAAAATTTGCATCAGGTGCCCAAATGGAACATATTTCAAAAGCCACTCACTCCTTTGAATTTGATGGAATCTTTACATCACAAACAGACTGTGGATTGTGTTTCCTTACAGTTCTTGACAATACTAAATGCAGTTGTTCCATTTTCTTCAAAACCTGTCTGCCAGGAATTATTTCAGACCGGTGTCTAACGATGGTATATAACACTCAGAATTACTGGGTTTTTGGACTTTGTCCATTGTCCAATTTTCTAAAAACTATAGCACACAATGTTTTGGAAACTGTATTCGTTTCCATCCTCAGGTGAAGGAGGAGACAACTAGTCTTTTGGGTTCCTTAGAGAAAAAAAAATAAAAGAACAGTTCATTCTCAACAACTCAACAAGCACTACATCATTGCAGGTGCAACAAAATCAAAACTTAACAAAAAATGGCAAAACAGCAAAACCTTACACCACCATGCTAAATAACTAACATCAGTAACAAGGATGGAACCAAGAAATGTCCATGACAGACAACATATGTCACCAACAACAATGTAATAATCATCGTATGTCTACAGAACATCATAGCTTAATAAATAAGAGCATATAAATAACCACAGACAATAAGGTACGCCCATACAAAAAAAATCCGTGTCAGCATTAAAACAAAAGTCTATACCAGTCACAGTTTACTCACCTAATCACACCCATAATAATCTCCATGTTAGTAAATAAGACAAACCTTAAACTCCATGGCTTGTAGTCCACAAGCAGACTATACTGACCGAGTGACCGCCACTTGTGGATGAAGTTAGTGCCAACTTTTGCGGATGGAGAATGTCACATGGTCAGCGCAACTGATCCCCACAGCCATTAATCCCAGTTTTATAGACTGGAGCTGCTACTTTTCCATTCCAGTAGGTGCTCAGTTATCCTCATGAGGCTGAGTGGACCCCATACCAGACCCACTACTTCACAGGAATCGAACCCGGGACCTCTGGATCTGTAGGCAGGAATGTGAGCACTAGACCATAGAGTTGGTCAACCTTAAAACTAAGAAATAATATATTTAAAGAATTGTACCAATTGATGATAAATATTTTAGTTATATTTACTGAATACTTTTATGGGTTTTTATACAATATGTATTGTGTGTACTTAAATAACAAGACCAATAGCAACAGATCAGTTGCACATGCAGTTTACTAATGATCAATGATGCAGTTTATAATTACTCAGGAACACCTGATGATGGTTGAAAGATTGAAATCTGTAGTGTGGTAATGTTTCAATGAACACCAATTTGAAAAACAAAGTTGTATTTACGGATATACTATATTAAAGAGGTAACCTCAATCACTGGATGTTGTTTTCTCTGATTTTTAGAATACCGGATGATGGACAAAGACCAAAACCAAGTACTTCTAAGGTTTTAGGGGACTCTTTAGGTGGTAACCCTCACAAAAAATGTTTTCCATAATGACCCTGCATTAAATTTCAGCATATTGAATGGACTCATATATTGTTCTTTTTCTCATAGCATCACTTCATTCTGTACAGATTGACAGATTAAAATTCTCCAAACTCCTTTTGCTCCCTTCCAGTCCCTGGCTGAACCGTCTTGGTCTACATTGTTGCATTACTACTGGTTTAAAATATGCTTTATAGGTCATTGTTCTGCATTGTTTTGGGATGTGTCTGTTGCATTTACTTTTGTAATGTGATAGCATTTAGAGCTCTTTTATATTCTTTTATTGATCTCGCTGTTAGTTTACCCTTCCGAGTTTTTTTTTCACCTCCTAAATATATAAATTTGCCTACCCCTTCAATAATTAGGGTACAAACATATCTCCCAGAATTAATGGGCTTAGGATCATGCACACAGTTGCTGTGTTTCAGCATATATATCTGTGTATGTGTGTGTATGTCTGTCTCTCTCCCCCTCTGTCCCTCCCTCCCTTGCTTGCTTGCTCTCTCTCTCTCTCTCTCTCTCTCTCCATTTACTTTGGTGCCAGTGGACTGTTGTGTCATCTCTCGCATGCTGAAACTGAGGGTTAACATTCAAAGAAGAGAATCCTGTTTACCTTCAGGGGTACACATGTCCAATTTCAGAATCTGTTGCAACTGGGTTGAAGCCCTAATGCCATAACCTTAAATTGAAGAATTGAATTCTTGCTAATTTAGTCTCATAAGGGATATTACAAGGCAATAACTTTTCTGACAGGACTGCAGGTAACATTCTTTGAATCTTAAGTTTGTATTAAATAGAGAACTTTCTTGAAGAAGCATCAAATTCTGTGTAGGAGAATGCATGAAATTTATTTATTGGTTCTAAACTTATCAGTTGACCTGCATTTTAAGTGCATTTGGAGTGCATATTGATATGTGCAGACCCCTTTCAATGAAAGATAGACATGAATAACAAGGTGTGGAAATTATGTTTATAGGAGGCCCATTCAGAACTCTGTGTATGAGGAAATTGGAGAGATGGTTGTAATTGAGAAGTTTTTAAACAGTTTGGAAGTAAATGGGTAGATTTGGTTTGGGTGTGTAAATATAAAGTTGTGAAGATTATGCATGCATTCATTAATTTGTATTCCTTACTGTGCTATTATGACTGATGGATTTGGAGATATTTTCTTTTTCTTCTGCCCCTTCATAGATTCAAGTAAGTCCAGTGAAGATGTTGTGAAGGAGGGTCAGATTCTAAGAGAGATGCTGGAGATCGTAGAGCGACGAGACTCGCTTATTGCATTGCTGGAAGAAGATCGACAAAGGTGTGGCCTTCCACTGAAGCATGGATGTGTTCAGCGAAGCCTTTCGGGTCCTGCTGTCTTGCAGCAGTTTCAGACAGTCCTGCGACAGAGAGTGTCCTCTAAAGAAGGCTTCTCTTTGATTTGGCTAGTAGTGATTCTTGCTGTAATGTGGATCCTGTCCTGCATTGTAGTTTGCTCATTCTGTTCTCCCTCTTTGGCAGAGTACATGCTTTAATGTTGCATGAAGCTTGGTTTGTATTTCTGTGTCTTTAATGTTGCATGTATTTTACCCTTTCAAGCTCTTAAAATTAAACCTTTCTATCATATTCTTGCTTATACTGGTCAGTTACGCATGAAATCTAGTCATATATTTTACGATGAAATTTCTAAAGTTAGTGTGGAAAGTGTGTTGCATACATAACGGAAGTCCACATTACATTTACACTGTCCTGTCCTTGAAGCCTTACTTATAAAACATGTGTTTTATGTGTGGAGTGAAATTGTGTTGTTCTGTAAGGAAGCAGATTCTTATTTAAGATTTTCTGGATTGTAATTTTGTTTAATTTTGTTTGGTGTTTACAATAATAATGTGTCCACACTTAGTCGTCTGTATTGACACTATCTTTAAGCTTTCTGCAAAAAACACATGTTCTACATGTAAGTATAATTACTATGTAACCTTACAAGGTGTATTTAGACTTTATTTTTTTTAAGATTTTCTACATTTTCAGTTGTATGTGAGTTATGAGTGAAATTTGGAGAGTATTTATTCTGGACACCCCTAGACTTGAAACTTTGCATCACATCACCTTTTTTTTAGAATGACAAATTTTAATTCTCACATAATAATTGTTTCCCTAATAACCACAACTGGAATTTTGAAATAAAAATATTTAGCCTTAAGTGAAGAAAATTAAGATTTTTTAGCTGTTAACATGTATTCATAACTGGTCTTGTTTATAACATTTTAGTCATTTTACCACTCTGTTATGAAAGAAATTATTCTTATTTCCTTGATTATTTTGATTGCTTTTGAAATGTTTCATTCCAATAGCTGTGCAGATACAGATATGAAACTTCCCACAACACACTCTTCAGTCATTGACCTGAAATTGCCCTAAATGCACATGCAATTATGTATATTTATAATATCAGTGAATTTTTTATTCCATGTTAGAAATGCTCATAGAATATATTCATAAATGGCCAAGTCTGCAAGTGTAAAAATGCATGCAAAATACCCAGTTTTGGTGTGCTTTATTTTATCTAACCTTATGTCATACATAATGCTAAGAGGTTTCTAGTGTGATATCGTTCTGAATGTTCATGCCCCAACAGAAGATAAAATTGATGATATGAAGGACAGCTTCTACAAAGAACTATAACTTGTATTTGATAAATTCCTGAAGTACCATATGAAAATTTTGTTAGGAGATTTCAGTGCCAAAGTAGGTAGGGAAGATATTTTCAAGCCAATCATTTGAAATGAGAGTTTGCACAAAATCAGTAATGATAGTGGAGTAAGGGAGTAAACTGTGCCTCATAAAAAAATCCTACTATGAACTGTACAATGTTCCCACATCATAACATTCATAAATTTACTTGGATATCTCCTGATGGGAAGATACACAATCGAATTGACAATATTTTGATAGATTGGAGATGGCATTCAAGTATGCTTGATGTCTGATCAATCAGGGCAGAAGATATTCATACTCACCACTACATCATGGTGGCAAAGGTTAGGGAATGACTGGCAGTGAGTAATCTAACAGCGCATAGAGTTCATATGGAGAGGTTCAATCTCAAGAAATTTAACCCTTAGGCGACGAATGGCATTTAAAGTAAACCTTACTGGGTGGACGGAGGATATTTAAATTTTCTTGCCAGAAATGCACAACTTTTATAAATTCGCTGTAAAAGCAAAGAAAATTGCTATTGAGATATTGAGAAAAGAAAGTAGTTTTAGATTTTATAAACAGCATGGCGATATTTCAATGTTTTCGTCTGAAGATCAAATTATTTTTTAAAAAACGGCATACAAATTTAGAAATACAGAATTTAAAACCGGAAACCAACACTGTGCTCTGTATAAAACATAACTTTTCTATTAAGTACTCTACTTTTAATTAATCATGCAGAATTACCTTAGAAATTAAGTTGTGTGATAGGCTTCAAAACATCTGTCCACACAAAGCCCGACATCACATTCCTGGCAGTGAAACCTCGATTCGCTCCTCCGTCCATGTTTGCTGCATACCACACACTTTCTGCTCCGTATTGGCGGACTGTTATGGGCTGGCATATGCACACACTCTTATTTGTTTACTAGCTCAGAACAAAGCCCCATTCATTCTGCAGTCAAAGCTGCGTGCTTATCTAAGTGCCATATCAGTTTTCACCAAGCTAATTGAAGTACGTATGTGTGTGTAGGAACAATAATCACGACTCTAAACACAGCCTGAATATATTTCCTCTGGACAGGTTGTATAGACATTTTAGCAAACATAGGCTTCAAAGACCGTACATGTATTTATGTCAAAAGTTACAGCTACATTTCATGTACAATGCTAAGCAATTCAATTTTTGATAGAAAACACACACGCTCTTTAATCAAAGTCAGAATTAGAGGGTGTGTGATGCCGCATATATGCGACAATCGACGACATTTAAAAAACCAGCCGCGCCGCATATAAGCAGCGATCATTGCGAAAGGGCTAATGAGTTAGAGAGTAAAGAGCAGTATTGTGTTGAAATCTGAAATAGGTTCATGGCTTTGGTAAACTTAGACACCGAGGTGGATGTTAATAAAGCTTGGGAAACTGTTAGAGAGAATGTAAAAATTTCTGCCGAAGAGAGTCTAGGTTATGAACTGAAGAAGCATAACCCATGGTTCGATGAAGGATGCTCAGAATTATTAAACCAAACGAAACAAACAAAATTGCATTTTCTACAGGATCCAACTTAAATAAAAGGGGATAATCTGAACAATATAAGACATGAAACCAGCAGGCATTTCAGGAATAGAAAGAAGGAATGTCTGAAAAGCAAAATTAATGAGCATGCAATGAACAGTAAGAACAAGACCAGTATAGTGAATAAATGACTTTAAGAGTGGTTACCAACCTAGAACTAACTTAGTGACAGATGAGAATGGTGATCTGCTTGCTGATTCCCACAACATTCTGAAAGGTGGAAGAACTGCTTCTCTCATTTATTTAATGTACATAGGGTCAGTGATGTTATGCAGATAGAAATGCACACAGCTGAGCCGTTAGTACCTGATCCTAGCCCTTTTGTGGTTGAAATTGCTTATTGCAAAATTGAAAAGGTATAAATCCCCAGGTAATGATCAAATTCCGGCAGAACATGTTCAAGCAGGAGGTGATTACATTCTAGGATCCATAAGCTAATTATTTCTATTTGGCATAAGGGAAAATTGCCTGATCAGTGAAAGAACTCTATTATTGTACTAGTTCACAAGAAGGGTGATAAAACTGACTGTAGTTATTATCGGGGGATATCACTGCTATCAACTTCATACAGAATTTTATACAATATTCTTCTCTCAAGGCTAAGTCCATACACAATGAAATAATTGGGGATCATCAGTGTGGGTTTCGATGTAACAGATCAACTACTGATCAGATCTTTTGTATTCGTCAGATACTGGAAGAAAAATGGGAGGACAATGAAACAGTACATCAACTGTTCCTAGAATTCAAGAAAGCCTATGATTCAATTAAGAGGGAAGTATTGTACAATATTCTGATAGAGTTTGGGGTACACAGGAAACTAGTTAGGCTGATTAAAATGTGTTTAAATGGAATGAATAGTAAATTCCGTATAGGTAAACATTTGTCTGATAATTTCCCTATCCAGAATGGTCTAAAACAAGGAGATGCTTTATTGCCACTCCTTTCCAACTTTGCTTTAGAATATGCCATTAGGAAGGTCCAGGGAAACCAGGTGGGACTGAAATTAAACGGACACATCAGCTGTTGGTCTATGCTAATGATATGAATTTACTGGGTAATAATATAAATACCATGAAGAAAACACACAAACTTTAATTGACACTAGTAAGGAGGTTGGTCTAGAAGTAAACACAACAATACTGTGAAGGTGCAGTTGTGGCTTGTATTTGTAAAAATGCTATGTTATATATGATAAGCCTGTTAAATGCTCTCATATGATATTGATGTAGGATACTTATCAACAAAATCTGAGTTGAGGATTTATTAATGTTGTAGTTCCATGTATAGGAGACCTAATCTAATATTACAACAGTTGTCCTTCAGTACATCTGTCATAATGGTACAGTAGAACTTTATTTGTATAATTTTCATAGAACTGAAACGTTATTAACCATGATGACATGAAAACAGAACACTGAATTTGTGATTGTGTTTAATTTTTATTAAAAAATATACATATATGACTCCAGTGACTTTTCTCAAGTGGTGATGCATTGAACCTACATTCATGAGGCAGTTGCTTCTAGTCTCAGCCAGGGCATCAGTTATCATGATGATTTTTTCTGTATTTCCTATACTTCCGCCTGCGAATTGGAATAATATCTTGAAATATGTTATGAAAACTTTTAAATCCTTTCCATTACTTTATTTTACTATTTATAATTATCCTTTCATTTATATTAATCCTACTGTGCAATTGAGAGATCATGTTTAAGTCATCTGTAAGTGTTTGATATTCTTGGAGTCTGACTAACTTTTGTCATCATGAAATAAAATATTGTGTATATCATTTGTACCTCAGATAGTGGACAGTGTCCAACATAATATTCTTAAAATGAATCTGCCATTATCAGAATCATTCAGAGAAACTTCCCAGTTCTTCAGTAAGATTCATCCTGTCATTCAGTGGTATCTAACTTATTGGCCTACGAGTATAGCTGATAGCGCATTGTGAAGTAAATGAAGAAACAAACTGTTATGCAAAGGCTTAGCAGTCCACTGGACATTGTGAGAAAGATCTATAATGTTACTTTCTAAAATGAC